ATTGGAGGCAGGGGGTTGGCACAGGGCCAGGTTAATAGAATCCTTCTAATCTAGAGAAGGGGGAGGGGAAAAATCTTGGATGCAAGGTGAACCATTTCTTAGGGAGACAGCCAGCAATGGCAGGGTATTATCACTCCAAATTTATGGATGAGATATGCTTAGCAACATAGTCTCATCAGAATCAAGTCATTAGAGAAGTAAAAATCTGACTCAGCTTTTTGGAAGAGCTCCTTGTGTTGTCATTATCATGACAGCAGCTGGGTTGCTTTCCATCTCTGTACAGTCACCGGATGCCTGGTTCCCTATGGAGCAGGGGGGTGGTTAAGCCCTAGGGCTGGCCTGCCATTTGGTATTCTGTGGCATCTCCTGGTTTTTCTTGCTGATTGTCTTAGAGAGCAGCTGAAGGGTTAGCTCTTAGATACAGCTGCTGAGTGTCCACAAATCCTAGTATTTGTAACAGCAAATAGAATTGAGACTTGTTCTTTTGCCAGAGACAGTTTCTAACTATGTAGCTCTGAATGGAATGGAAGTCGCTGTGTAGACCAGGCTGGCCTTGAACTCACAGAGACCCGAGTGCCACTGTCTTTGAGTGTTGAGATTAGAGGTGTGCACCACCATGCCCATCCATCTTGAATTGAAGTTTTTATGTTTTGCTGAGACAAGGTTTGGAGTACTGAGACCTGGGCAACCGTGAGGCAGACCCATAGTCTCACCAAGTGGGTGGGATTCAGTTTTGTTTCCTAGTAGGCTGGGACAAAACTCCTTGTCAGGCATAGCTTACAAGTATGCTACTTTCCAGTGATTCTCCCCCCTTCCCTTGAAAATATTTTAAAGTTCAAAGAAAGATGTTTACAGTTCTCTTGCCTTGCACCTCCCCCATTTCCCATGTGTACATTTACACAGCCCGGGAATGATTTTGGTTTCCCCAAATTCCATGGTCTGACGTAGGAGCAGTTTCAGGACTTTTTTTTCCTTATAGTTTTACAGGACAAAGTCATAAAATCGAGGCAAGTTGAATATGTTGGTGGGAACATTAAAGAGTCAGCTGCAGAGAGATGGAGGAAGCTTTCCTATAGGCCTCAGATTCATTGCTTTTGGGTTGGTGGAAGCTAGTGGTTTGCCACATTAATAGATTGTAAAAGGTTTTTATCTGTCTGTCAGTCACAGAATGTCACTTTTGACAGAGAGCTGGGCAAGGAGTGGTGAAATGGCTAGAACTAGCCCAGGATAAGACGGTCAGTCTGTGGACTTGCATCATTCCAACTCTCCACATCACTGGTTCTTGTCAGTCGTCTGTCTCTGCAGACAGGGTTTCTTTCCAGGGACTCTTCTTGTTCACGTGTGTGGGAGCCAGAACCCAGAGAACGGCCCTGAGAGCTGGTTTCCATGTTCCTCAGCAAGTGCCTCTATCTAAACACAACTCTGTTTTTTTTAGAACATCTCTACAAAGGTGAAGGCTCACCCCCATCCCCCCATATCCAGGAAACTGTTTGCATATAGAGTGGTGTCCTGTACTTCCTGTTTCTTGAGACTTCACACGAAGCCATCCAAGGACCCCTGGCTACCATTTCCCTCTTTCCCATATGGCAGACGAGGCCCTGAGAGGCAAAGAGGCTTGGGGTCCTTTCCGTCTAATTGTGGAGTCCCATAGCAGCCCCTAGGGGGTTTCATATATGTGTGTGGGGCTGACCTCCCCACCCCACCTCAGTCATGCATGCATCCTGAAGCCTCTCAAACCCAGGATTCCCAGCCCTTTCCTCTAAGGGCCCGCGGTTCTGTGGATTCCAGGCCAGGCCCCGTGATTCGCATATTTTTTACATATTTTAAGGTGATGCTGGTCATAAGAACCATTGCCCACACTGGGGGATTCTGGAGGGGTGGATTCTAGACTAGAGCTGGTCTGAGCTGATGCATAGTCCCTGAGGCTGCACTGCTCTGGTCCATGGTGCCCTACACCCTTCTGGTGGGCTGTTTTTTGTTGTCACAGCCCTTGGAGCTCCTTCAGGGATTGAGTTTTACTGAAGGGTGAGGTGTGAGGTGTTTCCATAGCCAGTTAAGAAACCCGGAGACACACTAGGACGTGTCTCCCTTTGTTGAATCTCCTCTCAACCTAACTACTAGCCGAGATTTTGTAAGTGTAACCTTTGTCTGGTCAGGTTCTGGTTTGGACTGGCCAGAGTATCATTTCTTTTGAGACACATTCTTGTGAGTCCCCTGGTCACCTACATTTATCACCTGCATTAAGTGATAGACTCTTGACACTTGAGAGGAGTTAATGGGGTCTATTAGATCCATGTAGAACAAACCCCAAACTCCTTCCTGAGCCCCTCAGCATCCCGGCCCCCCACTTTATCCATCTGTGACTTCTATCTGGAATGCCTCTCTCTTTTCCTCATTATTGCCTTTTGCCTGCACCTGCTGCTTTTCCTGTGAAATTGAGCCTTCTAAATCCCTTTCATTTCCCTTACTTTGACAAAGTCATCTGGGTACATGATGAATACAGTACACTAGGGTATACGGTTGAAAAATAATCCCTTCCCACGTGCCCTCCCCCTCAGGCACCCTCTGTCCTCCCCCATCCCCCCAAGTGGCTGGGCTTCTGTAAGTGGCTGGAGTAATGTGTTTTGCATCCTTTCGGAGAGGGATGTGTGAATCTCCTGCTGGCACTAGATGTGTTGTTTTGTAACTGGACCCAGGCTGGAGATTGTCATACATCATTCCTTCTATGGCAAAAGTGATGTTGTTCCTGGTGTTGGGCCTGGAGACTTGTGCCTGCTGGGCAAGTACTCTGCCACTAAATGGCACCCTCAGCCCTGCCTCATCAGTCTTTCAGTGGGGGAGGGGTTGGGATTGTGTGGCACTCCATTACCTAGACTGGCCTGGGATCCAGCAGCCAGGACCCAGCAATCCAGAGTGTTGGGATTCCGAAGGCCGATGACTATGCCTGTCTTTCTTAACCATGGTGTGTGTATGTGTGTGTGTGTGTGTGTGTGTGTGTGTGTGTTGCATATGTTGTGGCACGAGGACAGCCTCAGCTTTCTCCTTCCACCTTGTCAGAGATAATCTTTTGTTTGCCACAGTATACGCCAGGCTAGCGGCTGACCCATGAGCCTCTGAGGATCCTCCTGTCTGCCTCACATCTTGCTAAAGAAGTGCTGGGATTAGATTCAGGCAACCATGTCCAACTTTACCTGGTTTCTCAAGCTTGCATGGCAAGCACTTTACCCAATTTCCCACCCCCGTAACTGCCACACTTAAATTTGAGACAGAGTTTGTCAACCAGGCTGGCCTCAAACTCATGGAGATCTGTCTGCCTCTGCCTCCTGGCAATGTTCAGTATTCTTTTATAAAATGTGTACGGGTTTTTCCTACAAGTGTGTGTCTGTGCACCATGTGTGTGCAGTTCCTGCAGAGGCCAGAAGGTGGCATCACCTGGTGATGGATTAACAGAAGGTTGTAAGTAACCATGTGTGTGCTGGCAATTGAACCCAGGTCCTCTGGAAGATCAGCCAGGGCTCTTTACTGCTGAGACATCTCTTCGTTCTGCACTAAACATACTTTTTTCCTTTTTTTGGTTTTAGTTTTTCGAGACAGGGTTTCTCTGTGTAGCTTTGGAGCCTATCTTGGAACTCGCTCTGTAGACCAGACTGGCCTCGAACCCACAGAGATCCGCTTGCCTCTGCCTCCCAAGTGCTGGGAGTCAAAGATGTGTGCCACCAACACCTGGCCTGCACTAAACATTCTTTATGGCCAGAGAATATTCTGTTGTTTGGCTGCCATGCATTAAGCCACTTCTGTTCGTGGTCTCTGAATTTGTGTCTGGTCATAGCAGTAAAAGGCAAAGTTGAGGCAGAGCATCGGCTGGTGCTCTCAGTGCCCCCTTCAGCATCTCTGGCTTCAGTCCCTCCGAGTGCACCCTTGTCCCCAGGCTAAGGAGCCCACCATCAAGTCTGAGGTGGATAATGGGTGGATGTGATGAAAAGACGTGGGTGGGTAGAACTGGAGTGGGTGGTTCTTAAGGTGGGAATCAGTGAGTGTTATTTGTGTCAGTGCCTTTGGAGGTGGGTGAGGCATGAGAATGTGCGTGTGGGAGGGTCTCATCCTAGCTCAATGGATGTGTCTTGCTGCGCATCTTGACTTTGCCGTTGGGCATGGTATGGAGACTTGTTTCTCAGTTGTAAGAGCAACATCTCTGCCTTGTGACTACTTCTTGTAACTTGATGTATTATTTTCTTGTTGCTATGACCAAATACGAGACAAGCAACCTAAGGAAGGTAAGGTTTATCTTGGCTTCCATCTTGAGGGGATGTAGTCTGCCGTCTTAGGAGGCCTGCTGGTAGGTGGCTCCTTCATCGATGGGGTGGGAGTGTGCGGTTGGGCTCCTCACATTTACATATCTCCCAAATAGGAAATAGAGAGTTGACAGGAAGCAGAGCCTAGCTCAAAAATGTCGAAGTCTACCCCTGGCCACCCGTGTCCTCTAGTGAGGCTCCATTTCCTAAATATACCACAGCTCCCACAAACAGTGCCTCCAGCCGGTACCTAGTGTTGAAATACACAGCCTGTGGGGGGTTTTCCACATCCAAGCCGTGGTCATGGCTTTGTCTCCAGGGCTGTTCCAGGGCTGTGGTCAGGGAAGGGTGTAGTTTTATTTTTAAAAATAGATGCTAGCTTCCCATGTGAAGATAGGTGATTGCTTCATAGCCGTAGCTGGTTCCATCAGGGTCTGTGGCCCTTGCCCTGTTTTTTTTTTTTTTTTTTTAAAGAGAAACCAAAAAAACCTAGGTGTTTTGAGGCCTTCCTCTTTGTTTACATAAATGTAAGAAGAAAGACTGACTGTACTGATGGAGGAGACGGGTCGATTCTGGGAGGGAAGCAGTGACATGTCACTCGGAGTTTGGGGACAGAATTGACTGTGACTGGGTCACCTTCACACCCTCTCCAAGTGACTCAGGCCTCCTTGACAGCTTTTCAAATATGGTCCTCTATGTCTTTTTCAGATCCTGGCTCTACGGAGCGAACGGCCCAGAAACGGAAGTTCCCCAGCCCTCCACATTCCTCCAACGGCCATTCGCCCCAGGACTCATCCACAAGCCCCATTAAAAAGAAAAAGAAACCCGGCTTATTGAACAGTAGCAATAAGGAGCAGGTAAAAGAGCCACCAGGAGTGGCTTCTGTACCAGTGGGATGGATGCCAGGCAGCGGTGGTGTGGGGTTGTTGGCATTAACGTAGCAGGCTACCTGGCAGTAGCTGTCATTTACATAAAGGGCAGCTCAGAGGCCTGGGCAAAAAATTTTCAGTGGGGTTTCAGATGTGTTTGGGGGTCAGAGGATAGAGCTGTAAGCCAGAGTTGAGGCTGGGGTGGGCATTGTTCTTGGAATGGGTTGGGGTTCTTCCTTGGATTAGTTTTTGGTGGTCTTAGTGTTTTCCTTCCCTCTGGGCTAAGACAGCCGTCAGAGGGGGCTGCGTGGCTGAGGGCATTTTCTCATCTGTAAAATGTTGGTCAGTGTGGGAGGGACACTGTTTTGAGTCCCGCTTTGGTCATGGGTCACTGTCCCTTCTGCCGGTGCACAGACACCCCCCCTCCCCGTAACCCATTAGTTCTGTCAGCTAGATGGAAAAAGCTGTCTTCTTGGATCTTGTCTAACGAAACTTCTAGCTTTATATTCTCTGTTGAGGCTCGGTAGTATTCGGAGGAACCGATGAGAAGCCGTGAACGGACTGGCTGGGATAGGATGTCTGTCCCCTCAGTGACTGTGAGGTCTGTGCTGACATTGTCATCCATCCTGTGCTTTCCCAAGTCCTGGAGTGGGCTCTGGGGAGCCAGGGTTGAATTAAGCAAGATTGCCTCTTTTACTAGAAGAGGCCTTGCAGTGGTTAAATGCCTAAGGCCTGGCGTATATGTTTCTGAGCATAAATCTATTTCCACTCAAATTATATAGCCAGTGGCCAACTCAGCCTCCTCTCTGAGGCTTTGAGCAAGTTAACCCTTTGTGTGCCGTTCTCATTCCGATGAGGATTGTGGTACTGCCCAGTCCACAGGGTTGCTTCGGGCATTCATCGAACACCATTAATGAATGATGCGAACAGGGTGACAGAGGAAAAGAAGGCCCTCTTTCTCTCCCTCCCTTTCCCTCTATCTCCCTGCCCCCCCCAACCTCCCTCCCTCTCTCTCCCTCCCGCCTCTACCCCCTTCCTAGTCCCCCTAGGTCACACCCGCACCTGTCCCTACCCCCCCAATGGGCGTGGTCAGTACAACAGGTGCAGGCAGGGTGGATATCTCACTACAGGGGTTAGCTTTGTTTGTGTGGCTGGTGCCCCTGTCACCTGGGAGTTATCATAGGTAGTAGGAGTGAAGACTCAAAAAGAAACAGAGGGACAACGGCTTGGCCCAGTTTGTAAAAGAATTTGCCTTGCAAACATGAGGACTCGACCTGAGAAACCCTGGAGCCTATGTAAAAATGCCAAAAGTGTTTGCTTGTAATCCATTGGCCTGGGGGGGTGGGTGGGGGGCGGATGGGGGTGGGGGGTGGATGGGAGGTGGGGGGATGGGGTGGGGGTGGACACAGGAGGATCCTTACTGTGTCCTTACTGGCCAGCCAGGCTAGCCTACTTTGTGAGTTCCAGGCCAGTGAGAGGCTGTCTTAAGGAAGTAGAGGGCTTTCCTAATGGTCACGCCTGAGGTCATCATGCCACCCTTGGCCTCCACACAGTTGTGAGCTCTCAAGTGCATGTCCTTGGCTCTCTGAGAATAGGCCATCTTTCTGTTAGTGTGGCCAGGAGAGCAGTTGTCTTTCCTTCCTTCCTTCCTTCCTTCCTTCCCTCCCTCCCTCCCTCCCTCCCTCCCTCCCTCCCTCCCTCCCTCCCTCCCTCCCTCCCTTCCTTTCCTATACAAGGTAGCTTTCTCAGCCAAGTGACAGCTGTCCACACCTGCCGTTCCAGTACTTAGGAAGCTGAGATTGGAGTATCAGAGTTCAAGGCTTGCTTAACTCCATGGTTAATTAGAGGCCACCCTAGGCTTCATAGCCAGTTAGTGGCCAGCCTGAGCTATCTACCTAGCATGCTGGGTGACATTTTGTTACGAGCAGTTTCCTGCCAGCCTGGTCCCAGTGTTTTATCAGTCCCAGAATAACACACAGAGGCACTGTATTAATTATGAAACTGTTTGTCGGTTACTAGCGTTTCTTATTGGCTAGCTCTGTCTTAAATATTAATCCATAATTATTAATATATGTATTTCTACATGGTCTTATCCTTTAGAACGCCAGACTCGCGTCCTTTCCTCCTGAGATCACATTGCAACTGTTTCCCCAGAATCCTCTACCTCTCCTAGTCCCACCTATCTTGCTTTCCAATTGGCCAACAGTGCTTTATTCATTAACCAATAAGAGAAACATATTTACAGAATGACATCTCCCATCAAGGCCTAGTCTTATACAAGCAAATAACAAAAACAACAATCATGACTCTCTCCAAAGTCACCCAGTTCAGTATGCTTCAGCTCCATCCTCTCTGTGATTGTTTGTAACTCTGTATCACCTGTCTTATCAGCGGCCTCATAGAAGTGTCAGTGTTCTGCACTGCTGTTGCTCAGGGTTTCACGGAGGGTGGGACTCCGTGGCTTTAGAAGACATTTAGGGAATGGGAACAGAGGGGTGAGGGTGAAGGGACACAGGGCCTGCTTGAGCTGGCCTCTGGGGACTTGGCAGCAGTAGTTGTAGAAGGAGCTTCAGTTAGATCTTCAAGAGGGCTTGGGTAAGCACTATCTAAGGTTGATTGACAGGCAGATCAGGCTCACCAGGCAAAGGGAAGAGAGCCTGGCCCCTTGATTTCTTGGTTGTTTCTAGCTTACGCATTTGCAGAAAGGGGCAATTTTCATGCACACTACCAAAGGGATCACAAATACTCATTTTGAGATAGAGCTGCACTATGTAGGCCTGGCTGACTTGGAACTCATTATGTAGGCTTCACAATCACAGAGATCCCCCAGCCTCTGTCTCTGAAGTGCTGGGATTAAAGGTGTGTGCTACTATGCCTGACTTTTTCAGAGGAGATTTATCCGTTTTTTTCAAAATTTATGTTACGTGTTTGCTTGCATGAGTTTGTGTCCATCATGTGCATGCAAGAGCCCTTAGAGGTCAGATTCCTTGGAATTGGAGTTGTAGGAAGTTGTGAGGAGCTGTGTAGGTGTTGGAAACTGAGTCCTGATGGCCTGTTTGTCCTTGCTACTTACTATCTTTAAAAGATTTATTCTTTTTCATTCTATCTGTATGGGTTTTGCTTGCATGTATGTATGTGCCTCGTTTGTGTATAGTGCCCATGGAGGCCAGAAGTGGTGTGGGATCCCCTGGAACTGTGGGTGCTGGGAACTGAACCTGGGTCCTAAGGAGGGCCACCAGTCATCTCTCTAGCCCTTATTATTCTTAGACTCCGGAATAGAAAACATCTGTCAGCTTTAGCTTAGACGAGAACATCCCTGGAGAGAGTGAATAGGTCTTTCCCATTTTCTTGTTAAGCTGACCTGGGGCAGGAGCCAGGGAATAAAAACATTTACTCTGTAACCTGCAATTATCCCCTTGTTGCACAGCCTGTGCGCTTTGCTGTAGGGCCGGCTACATACTTTAGACTCATGGGAGAGGGAAATCAGAATTGGTTTTACGTGAAATTGCTGGCTTTTCCTCTAAAAACATCCTCATTTGTTATCAGGTTGTTTTTGTGGAGCTTGTGAGGGGAATGTGTGATTGACAGGGCGACTGTCCTCTGCTGCCACTGAGGTTCCTGGGGTGGGTGGGTCTCTGAAGAAAGCACAGTCACCTGGCTGATGGGTCCTGGGGGAAACTTCTTCTGAGCCATCAAAGAAACAAAAGAAATGTCCCCATTGGGGCCTGTGGACCCAGGTGTTATGTTAGGTTACCCATCCTGTTTGATCCCCTTTTGTTATTGAGATGGGGTATTGCTAAGTTACAAGGTTGCCTGAACTTGCTTGCTGCTGTATGTTGAAAAATGAAAACATACGTGTTGTGTTCCCCCCCCCCCCCCCAGGGTTTCTCTGTATTGTTTTGGAGCCTGTCCTGGAACTAGCTTTGTAGACCAGGCTGGCCTCGAACTCACAGAGATCCACCTACCTCTGCCTTCTGAGTGCTGGGATCAAAGGTGTGCGCTACCATGGCCTAGCACTTCTTTTCTTTTCTCTTTTTTTTTTTTTTTTTGTTTTTGTTTTTGTTTTTCAAGACTTGAGTTTCTCTGTGTAGCCCTGGCTGTCCTGGAACTCACTGTGCAGACCAGGTTGGCCTTGAACTCAGGATTAAAGGTGTGTGCCAACACCACCACCACCATTAAGCTGAGAAATCAGATTTTTAGTTAACAAAATATAACAGTTGCTTTCATACTCAGTCAGTATTAAAAATGTAGACATATGTGTGCATAAAAATGTAATAGGAGACCACTGTTCATTACACTCTCTCAAAATTAAAAAAACAAAGTATATGTGTAAGAAGTGTGTGCGCACACGTGTATGAGTGTATGTATGTATATGTGTGTGAATGTATGTGTATGTATGAGTGTATGTGTGTGTGTGTGTGAGTGATGGGGTTCTCTCCTTCTTTTCCGTGGGCTCCAGGCATCAATCTGGTTGTTAGACTGGCTTTTACCTGCTGAGCCATCTTGTCAGCCCTGGTTTTGTTTTTGAGACAGGGTCTCACACACATAGTCTGCTTTCCCTGTTCATATTATAAGGATTTGCAGTATGTAGCCAGGGTGAGATCTTTTGGAGGAAATAGTAATGTTTTCCTGGCAGGGAGCTTGTGTTGTGTAAATGTGATATCTATATAATATCCATGGGTTTGTTGGGAAGGCTATCCTGTTTCCCTGTCTCTGGGTGGGTTCTGAAGGTCACACAGCTTTTACTAGGCCGTTTGACAGTCACAACTTGGCTATTTGGGGCTGCTTCTGAAGGCTTTTCTGTGTTTGCTTTGCTGTGTTCTCAAATGGCTCATTCTAGAGACATGTTTCCAGACGCTGTCCTGCAGGATGGTGTCTGGTTCCCATGAGGTGGCTTGCCCTTTCCACTCTCTGCCGCTGTTGGCTGGGATTAAGTGACCGGGCTTCCTGGCAGATGCGAACACCCTGCTCTTGGAGATACTTTCTGCTCTGGAGAGATGCTTAAATAATGGGGGATAATTTTGTGTGAACCAAATCCAATTGTTTTACCCTCCAAATACCTGCTATTTAAAGCATACCAGGGCAAATTGCCAAATTTACATTGGCTTTGTAAATTTGAACTGAGACATATTGGGCTCTTCACAGTTTTTGCAAGTAGTGGCTGTGCCACCACTTAATACCAGCATGTTGACTCTCAACCCCATTTTACAGATGAGAAAATCGAGGCTAGGAGGCGGAGAGAGACATGGCCCAGGTCACGCAGCTGGTCAATGGGGAAGTTAAATTGTGCATTTGGGTATGCTTGGGTGACCTAGTCACTAACTCTCAGGTGCTAGCCTTTAATGTCCGGCCTTTTAACACTGGCTTTACAACCGCTGCCCAGCTAGCTATTGCTGTGTTTAGTTGGGAAATGGAGGTGGTCTAGCTGTGTAGTAAGCTTGTGAGGTGTGTGATGTTGGTATGTTGTTTGTGATGTACTTGTGCAAATTACTGCTAAGAAACCACATTTGTTTTGAAACCCCACCTGTCTTTCTTGCCTACATTTCAGTCAGAGCTAAGACATGGTCCGTTTTACTATATGAAGCAGCCACTCACCACAGACCCTGTTGATGTTGTACCACAGGACGGACGGAATGACTTCTACTGCTGGGTTTGTCACCGGGAAGGACAAGTCCTTTGCTGTGAGCTCTGTCCCCGGGTTTATCACGCTAAGTGTCTGAGACTGACATCGGAACCAGAGGGGGACTGGTTTTGTCCTGAATGTGAGGTTAGTTCCCGATGAATGAATTCATTACCTGCCTCATTTCCTCTCCTTTCTCTTTTCTTCCTTTTATTTTTTAAAAATTTCAAATAACCCAGTAGAGGGAAAGAGAAATGTCTTGCCTCCTGCCTGCTCCACCCTGGCCGCCCCCTCTGGGGACCGTCTCCTCGCTGGCTGCAGTGGGGCAGCTCTTGGGAAGACATGTCGCCTTGCCTGTCCCTGCTTCTTCACGAGCCTTGGGAGCGCTTTGAGATCTGCGGCTGTACCTCTGCTGCTTCTGCCGTGAGTGCCTTGGACAGGGACCTGGTAGGCCTGTAATGGCTGCTGATGCCTTTTGAAAAGATCCTGTGCTGCTTCCCTCCTGCGTTCCGCCCGACTGGGAAGACCGCTCTGGTGTGTGTGTGTTCCACGTGTTCCACATGGTGACCGCCTGCCTCATGCTTTCTTTCATGCGACAAGCGCTTCTCCAGTGCTGAGGAATTCCACAGCACATTGGACAGAGAGGATAGCTTTTTATTTTGGGCAAAAGAGGAACAAAGCCCAGTCCCAGAGACGAGTTACTTATTATACATAGGTTGAAGAAAATTGGAGAAAAAGGAAACGGAAGATGGGAGAGGGAGCTGAGGCGCTGGGCGTGCCCCCTTTAAGAATCCAGGCCTGGGAAGGTCACACTGAGATATGAGGAGGATCCGAAGGGGAGGACAGCTGGACAGAGGAAGTCACAGGTCCAGAGCTGCGGCTGAGCGTGCGAGGCTGTGTGTAGCCCACTCTGTGCCTCTCGTCAGCTGAGCTGACCCATCAGGAAGCTGACTGCTGGAGCCCCCTCTGTGCTGCGTAGCTCACTGATGCTCTCTGCACTGCTGCAAGCAAGCGTCAGCCATACACATCATCTCATGTGGGACGTCTCTGCGTTTCCACCGTGCACTGCATTAGATTTTGAGGATGCTTCCTGTGTGTGAGAGGGAAGTGTCACCTAGATGTGTGTGGGGGAGGAACTCAATACAGGAAAACGCCCATGATGCCACTCTTGGGTGGGGAAAGGAGAAAAATAAGAAATACTCGAAATAAATTAGACTTCCAAACAAATGATGATGCCATTGAAGGGGTCTTGTGCCTCTGTCACAGCCAAAGCTGGTTGATGGCTCCCCAGGGGTTATTCCAGACAGACTTGCACACTCTGTACTGGCAGCTCGCTCCTCTGTTTAGAGCTGGGTTTGCTTCCCCATAGTTTTGTGGGTCCCTGAGCCTTCAGCAGTGTTCTTCTGTCTTGTGCATCCCTCCCCCGTTGTCTGGGTCACCAAATAGAGAGTGGTTGAGATAGGCTGCCTTTTCTGCAAGTGATGCTTATAGTGAACGGTGTTTGAGACACCAGAGCCTGTGACCATCGTGTGTGGGGAACAGCCAGCGAGGTAGGTCAGCCAGGCTTTTGGGAGCAAAGCTTGCTGTCTCACCATCACCATGGTGGGTCCTCTCTGTCTCCTCGGCCGCACACACAATGGCTGCTAGAGAGAGGCTTTGCTATCATGTGTGGATAGTCAACGATTTCCCTAAGACTTCACTTTTGCCAAGTGGAAGAATTTTTCCCGTGTCCTCCAGCTGATTTGCCTTTGGTCAGCATTGCTCACCGATTTCCCTATTGAAAAAGCTTGCCTGCGACTCCTATGCTGTGCTCACCAGTCCGTGTTAAGGAGCTAGGAGGGCGTGACAGGTGGGTGGGCAGGTGACTCCCTACATGTCCACTATGGATATGTAGCAGTCACAAAGAAACGGGACTCCAGCAAGCAGGTGAACTTGCCATGTGTTCAGATCCAGGGCCCTCAGCTTTTCCCGTGGGGTACATTGGAAAGACAGCTGAGAAGATAAAATGGGGCTGATCTGTGTACTCTGTACCATTGTCAGTCTTGGAGTCATTCTGCTTGGCCCTTTCTTGACAACCAGCCACCCTGGGAGTTCACTGGGAGGCCCCGGAGATGTGACAGATGGAAACTGTTTCCAAATTAATTGGAGAAAATGTGTACCTCTCCTTCCACAGACAGGCCAGACGAGTCCCTGATGTCATAGGATTTGCTAGTTTTGTTGTTGCTGTCATATAATCCTCAGAGTCCCCGAGGTCTGGCATGGGGCTTCTGCAGCGATCTGCTTATAGCTGTTTTGCTGGATCTTTCCTTTGATAGGGATGCCCTTTATGAAGTGGCCTTTCTGACTTGGGTGTGGGGCCACACACTTGTAAAGCCCACTTGGGAGGCTGAGGCAGGAGGATTAGGAGTGAGGCCAGCCTGGGCTTCACAGTGAGATTATTTCTCCAAAGAGAAAAGAGAAAGGGAAGGAGGAGGAAGGAAAAGAAGAAAAAAGGTAAGGAATAGAAAAGGGAAAGAAAAGAAAAGAAAAAGTGTGTGTGGGGAGCCCTGGATATGGTGGTGCACACCTTAATCCCAGCTCCGGGGAGGCTGAGGTAGGTGGTTCTCTGTGAGTTTGAGGCCAGCCTGGTCTACACAGTGAGATGGTCTTTAAACAAGGAAAGGATAAAGGAGAAGTTCCTCTTGTAGGATGCCCACAGTGGCTTCAAGTCCTTGGGTGTGGGAAATGAGGCGTGTTTCTCATTGGCTGAGCCCCTTCCCTAATTCTTCTACAGGGAGCTCCATCTCCCTGCACCAGGGGCATCCTTGAGAAAGGCCTTGCTAGTGCTCAGCTATAGCTCAGGGCCCCAGAGGATGTGGATGATGGTTGCTGAGCATACATTCTGTATCGCAGTACCCTCCATCTACTCTCTGCGGTCTTTCTTTCCAAATTTAATTATTAAGATCCAAAGGTTGCCGGGCTGTGGTAGCGCATGCCTTTAGTCCCAGCACTCGGTAGGCAGAGGCAGTAGATTCTCTGTGAGTTCAAGACCAGCCTGGTCTATAAGAGCTAGTTCCAGGACAGGCTCCAAGCCACAGAGAAACCCTGTCTCGAAGAAAAACAAAAACAAAAACCAAAAAACAGAAAAATAAAACAACAACAAAAAACCAACCAAACAATAACTAAAAAGATTCAAAGGTTGCAATCTGCCACCATCATGTCTACATCAGTCCAGATCACTTCCTGTACCATATATACGATTGACAACTTTGCCCACCATGGACCCAGTATGTGCTGGTCTGGTAGTTTGAACTAATAGCTGTTCTCATTTAGTTGGGAATCGAGTGCATTAACAAGAATAGAAGGAGAACAGATGCATCGACAGTGGTGTGTTTTCCCCCTAACGGACCTGTGTGTGTGTGGTTTTTGACTTGTAGAAGATTACAGTAGCAGAATGCATCGAGACACAGAGCAAAGCCATGACGATGCTGACCATTGAACAGCTGTCCTACCTGCTCAAGTTTGCCATTCAGAAAATGAAGCAGCCCGGGGTAAGAGAGATTCCCGATGCTGTGAGCATAATGGCGATGGCGGCTTCTATTTGTTCCTTTAATGTCCTGTGTGTTCCTGGTGGCCTTGCTTTTCAGGCACACAGGCATACGCTTGGGACTTTCCTGTATTTTCAGGCATAAGATACGATACTCTGTCCCGGAAGAGTTTAGTCAGGAGACAGTTGCTAGTAGGATGGGGTTGGGGATGGTTCTGAAGAGCCATGAGGTCAAACCTCACAATGTCCAAACTCCATTGGCCAAGGAGGGGACTGGGGGACTCTGCTCCTCCTTATGCCTTTGTGAAATTGTGTGAGAGCAAAGTGCAGCCAGCCTAGTGTAGTGAGAATGAACCATTGAGCTCTCCGAGGTGGGTGAGGCTGTCCTTCCTTAAGTGGGGTGGGGTTTAAATCTTCTGACTGAGCCGTGGGGAGAGGTGAGCTGCCACATTTGTGTGTCCAGGTGTGTCCCTCACAGCAGTGCCCTCCTGAGAGCCTCTCCTGCACCAGCGTGCTGTGTTCAGGGTTTCCCAGGGCTTCAGGAAAATGTCAGAATAATAATTCCTTGTTTTATTTTTCTTGTGGCCATGGGGATTGAACCCAGGGCCTTGTGAATGCAAGCTGAGTGCTCTGTTATTGAGTTCTAACCATCCTCATTCCCAAAATATATTGTGTTTTAAAATGTAATTTTTTTTTTTTTTTTAAACATTAAACCTAGTCTTGATGACACATGCCTATGTCCCAGCACTTGGGGAGGCGGAAGTTCAAGGCTACCTTGCTCTCCTAAGCAGATTTTAGTCTAGCCAGGGCCACAGCAAGGCTCTGGCACAGAAACCCCCTTTCTCCCATTGCCTCAAGACATTAAAATTGCTTACTGCATTTTCCCTACAGGTGAATTCAAGCAACATTTTGGGCAGGGTCCCCCTCCTGTTTGTGCAAAAACACCTTATTTTCTAGTGAAATTCCTCTTTGTTTATTTTCTAAGTTCACAGACATGTAGACTCAGGGTTAGGGCTCGCCCATTAAACCTCTTTCAAAAACAAAACACGGCTCAGTAGGTAAAGATACTTGCTTTGAAGTCTGTTGAACAGGGTTCCATCCCCAGGTTCTGTATGATAGTAGAAAACTAGTTCCCCAAAGTTGTCTCTTGATTTGTGTACACACACACACACACACACACACTCACACACTAAATAAGTAGATGTAATAATACACAAAATAGAAGCCAACTTTTTCTTGGAGAAGAATCCTGAAATTTGTTGTTGTCTTTGGAAAAACATCCAGACCCTTCCAGTTGGCTGTTGTTAAAATGGGAAACTATCTTTCTTGGGAGTAAAGTGTATAGCCAGAATTCGGTACCAAGCAAAAAAGAAGATCTTTATGTTTTTACTTTGGAGTGATTTTTAGGTTAAATGTGGTGAGGAGTTGCTTCTGACTCTTTTAGTCTATAAACTGTGTCTGCTAAAGATCTTCTATATAAAAGGATCATCTTGACCAGATTATTTGGTGGAAGTTATCTTTGTTTTGAGGTAAGGTGCTGGAGATTGAACCCAGAACCTTTCCCATGCTAGATAAGTGTTGTACCACTGGGCTGCAGCCCCACCCCAAGTGTGTGTGTGTGTGTGTGTGTGTGTGTGTGTGTGTGTGTGTGTAGAGTCAGGCAAGATCTCTGTCACAGAATTACATTCCTTCCACAGAGTCATCTTTCTAACATTTTATAGTAGTCAGACTTTCGTTCTAGATGACATAGGCCAGTGTCAGGTAGAGAGCTACTTAGTTGCCTTGCTTGAGTGTAAATTAGCATTCAATCAAACCTTTTGGTGTTATATTTCTTTAAAGGTTGTGTTTGTGTGTGTGTGTGTGTGTGTGTGCGCGCGTGCCCTACTTGTGTGTAGTGCCAAGGTGGCCAGACGAGGGCATCAGATCCCCTGGAGCTGGCCAGTGTGGGTGTGGGATCCGAACTTGAGTCCTCCGGAGGAGTAAAAGCGCTCTTAAACACAGAGCCATCTGTCTCGCATCTCTTTCTGGCATCTTTACATTGAGAAGTGAATACCTGCCCTGCCCTGTACATTGCCCCTTGAGCTGATGCCTTAAGTAGGTAAGATCAAAAACTTGCTCAGCCAGCTCATTGAGGGAGCAACAGAATCTCATTTTGTATGTTTTACCCCAGGTCACACCCTATGCTCACACCTAGGGAACTATTTTTTTTTTTTTTTGCTGAGTCAGCACCATTTTACCATCAAGTAGACCACACAGCAAGTGTCCTTTAGAGGCCTAAAGTGGCTTACAATGTTGTGATTGTTAACCTTAACGCAAGAGGGCACGGAAATCACAACAAATAACAAAACCAGACCCATTCAGCCAGGCCCAGTACTCTGTCAGTGGAATTAGAAGATGGGTCACCATAAACTTTTTGAGGTCATCTTTTGTGGCTGTTGCTAGACCTGTGAAAGTGTGTCTAGTTTTCAGCACCCTTTACTGTCCATGCGTGGTCTCCAGAGCAGTGATGGTTTTTGCCTGTGCAACCGTCTTTTTCTCTTACAGACAGATGCATTCCAGAAGCCCGTTCCCTTGGAGCAGCATCCTGACTATGCAGAATACATTTTCCACCCCATGGACCTTTGTACATTGGAAAAGGTTGGCCTCTATTATAGGGCCTGGCTGAGGTAGCACAGCTGTTGAGATGGCTAAGGCTTTTGTCTTTCTCTGGCCAAGCTCCAGTTAGATTTTTTCATGGGGGACATTATCCTGCTCCGTTTGATTCGGGTCAATCTCTTTTCCTACATGCCCTTCCTCCGTGACCTCCCCCAGGGGGAGGGGAGCACAGGCGATTGTTGAAATCCACAGGCAGTGCTTTTGAGAGGGATAGTCCCCGCCTCTCAGAATTAGTGACTTGATTGATTGGCTTCTCACTTCCTCTTTCCGAGGCACTAATGAGAATAGTGGGAAGGAGGAGGAGAAATGACGTGTTTGGAAACCTCCAGATTATCGTTAAAGGGGCTTCTTAGAACTGAATTCCCTTTGCCCATCAGGCTGTTTCTTTAATGCCTGAAGAGCTTGTGCTAGAATTCCACTGTGAAAATCACACTTGAAGCACTCTGCTTGAGCCCACTATCCTCATGCAGATTTCCCAACTCTGCAGCTAAATAGGGGATTGAAACACATTTTTGTGGGGCTGGGGCTGGCCTGGCATTGCCTGTACAAGGCTTTCTTTTTGATCCCCAATTCTGTAAGAAAGGCATCCATTAAGCAGAACATGATGCCATAATGTCTGCATTAATAATCCCCCCAAAAGCAGTGTGCCAGAAAGAGAAGGCATTAAAAAAAAAAAAAAAAAAAAAAAACAGGGTTGGAATTCCAACTTCAGGTGGGGTGGGGGAGTGGGGAGGTATGAGGTGTCTTCACATTGTCATCCCTCAGTTTCCTCACATTGTTAGAAGTCCCTCATTGGATTTTTGGGAGAGGCATGTGATACAGTGACTTTATTAGTAGTGATGTTCAGTTATATGAACTGTGCCCTTCATTGGATGACACTGCTGAATAAATGACATCATCTTCAAGATGACCATGTTCAAGGCCCTGTGATGACTCCGAGTGCATTTTATAGGGTTATAGATCTTGAACCTAAGAGCATCCTGGGAAATGAGTCAGAGAGCACTTATTAATTCAGCAGATGGCTTCTATGACAGGCATAGGGGACCTAGGTGTTAGCACTGCTGCCTGTATCAACTTCAATGGTCATACGGCTCTCTGGCTTCTTCTCCCAGAATGCAAAAAAGAAGATGTACGGCTGCACGGAAGCCTTCCTAGCTGACGCCAAGTGGATCCTGCACAACTGCATTATCTACAATGGGGGTGAGTAGCTTGGAGGTCCCCGAGGAAGATAGCGCGATATGGGCGTGGCAGTCTTCTGCCCTAGTTTCCTGCCCGCTGATGAAATCAATCAGGTGTCCCCACTCCAAGGGATCCAATTCTCTTCCGTTTTCTGCAGCCATCTGCATTCACATATACGCGCCCCCCCCCCCCATACACATAATTGAAAAGAATATTGAAAATAGTGTTAGGTTTCTGTGTCTGGGTCATTAAGGTCTGGAAATCCATTTCCAATGCCCGTGTAAAAGCCAGGTGTCACACCAACACTGGGAGTGTAGAGACAGGGCACTCTAGAACTCTCAGAATAGTGAGCTGCAGGTTCAGTGAGGGACTCTGTCTCAAAGCACTTGCAGAGCAAACTAAGCACGAAATTGATACTGAGCCCTGATTATCAGATCATACAAACATGCTTGGCTCTGGTGGATGAGCATAACACCTGCTCCAACTAGGATGGCCAGTGGTGTGGGGTGGATTGAGGACAGCGGTGCTTACAGGTCTGCAGAGGGTGCCATTAACAGGTTTCTTCCTGTGCACTGCTGTTTAGTTTAGTTCATAGCTGTGTGTTTGCTTTTGGATGAGTAATAGCTGTGTGTGTGTGTTTGGATGAATAATCCTTCCTGTAGGTGTGTGTGTGGGGAAGGTGTGGGAGTGGGTGTGTGGTTGGACACGAGTGTGTGTGTGTGTGTGTGTGTGTGTGTGTGTGTGTGTGTGTGTGTGTGTGTTCGTTCGAGGCCTGAAGTCAGTCCCAGGTTCCACCTCAGGTACCATCTATTTTCGTTTTTCCTCATCTTCTGGGACAGTGCCTTCTCAGGTTTGTAGATGGCTAATTAGGCTTGAATGACTGGCTGTGGAATCCTTATGTTTTTGAGGTATGCACATGCTGACTGAGCCATCGCCTCATACCAACACATTTACACTTTCTGAAAATACTGTTAGGATCAGAGAGCACAGTCATTTGGCTATCATGACCTCTGCTTTAGTGCAAATCAGAAAAGCTTGGTGTTACCTCCGGGCTAGGTGTGTAGGTCATTAGCTAAGAGTTCTGGCAGGGCCTTCTGACTTTGCCTTAGTCATTAAGTAAAACGAGAATCTCCTCATCTGTGGTCCTACACTGCTTCCAGTGGAGTCTTTGCTGGGCTCCAGACGCTCCATTTCCTTTTTGCTTTGTGTTCTGGGATTATAGGGTTAAAGCAGGCTCCTTTTTGGTAATTATAACCTTTAGACTGTCAGAGTACTTTGAAATATTAACCCCATCTATAGGGAATTCCACAGCAACTGTTCAGTTGCAAGATGATGACAAAGCTTGGTCAATAATGTGAATCAGTGTTGGAAGCCTGAAACCTGGGTTTTTTAAGCCGTTAAACGGTGAATCTGGGGGGGGAAACCAAGTTTTAAAATTGCTAGCTAATGTAAGTGTAATCCCTAGGCACGAGGCTGGTTGTTTGCCTTTGAAGTAATCCAGTTTTCTTACTCCCTCAGGAAATCACAAGTTGACGCAAATAGCAAAAGTCGTCATCAAAATCTGTGAGCATGAGGTACGTGCTTCCTGTCTGTGTGGTGTAGGGGTCTTCTCGAGGCACAGGGCAGCTGGGTGGGTGGCTACCATGACTTTTGTGTTCACTGTGTTGTATGCAGCCTGTTGTCTCTTTAAGCGTGTGAAAGCAGAATAGAGGTGTCCCCGATGGTATAGGAGCTAGTTAGTTCCACAGTGATTTAAAGGGGATGGGACTGATTTTTGGTACAGGGAATTCTGAGTTCTCTCGGCTGTCAATCTGTCAGTTTTCGACTTTTGCCTGTTGGCAAAGTTCCATGGGGTCATTCCTTTTACAGAGGTTTGTGGTTTTGACTGAAGGGGATAAACTTATAAAGTATCTCTTCCTCCTCCTCTCTCTTTTTTTTTTTTTTTTGAAAATAGAGTTCTTATCATTTAGCCTATGAACTTGCTATGTAGATCATGCTGGTCTCTGCCACCCTATTTCCAGGATGCTATTTCCACTATGCTATGGCTCCTGTCACATTGCCTGGCCATGATGGTGTCCACGCATTTCCCCCCCCCCCCCCATTGATTGTGTGGTTCTCAGGCATGAAATGCATAGGTAACAATGTGTCCTAAGGTCAATTGGATGTCTCTGCTAGTTAGTGGATATTTCTTAACTGCTTTCCACAATGGCTGTGACAGTGAGGGTACCAGTCTGAGGTGGAACTATGTGGTAGCGTGTGTTCTTTCCAGCTTAGGAACTCACTATGTAGACCAGGCTGGCCTTGAACTCACAGAGATGTTTCTGCCTCTGCATCCTGAGTGTTGGGTTAAAAGGTATGTGCCACCATGCCCGGCTATTTATTTTATTTTTAAAAGAAATTTATTTCTTTGTATTTTATGTGCATTGGTGTTTTGCCTGCATGTATGACTGTATGTCTCAAAGTTACATACAGTAATTAGTGGCCATGTGGGTGTTGGGAATTGAACCTGGGTCCTCTGGAAGAGTAGTCAGTGGTTTTAACTGCTGTTGCCATCTCTCTAGCCCCCTGTTCATATATTTATGTATATATGGGTGCCAGTGTATTTATGGACATCATGGGTTTACAGATGTGGGGGGGGGAGGGGCATTTGGTTACATGTGGTTTCAGGCTTCCTGTGGTGGGTGCTGGAAACTGAACCCAAGGTGTTGACAAACACAGCACTTTTAACCTCTGAGCTGCCTGTCGAGCCCATCTAAATATAAAAATTATATGTTATAGTATCTGTTTCCTCCATGTAATCCCAGAACAGTTTGCTTGCATGCATGACTGTTGGTAGCGAGTCGTGACGGACCCCTCACTGTATATAACCTTTGGAGTACTGTGAGTGGTGTGCTAGAGAAAGCCAATCCCCCCTCACTCATTTCCTTCAGTCTCCAGTTAAGCTGGCTCAGGAGGGATGGAGGTCGGGGATGGATATGTGTTATAAGATGAAGACATCACGGAGCATGGGTCCTGTGAAGAGACAGGACACAAAGAGAAATGCGAGCCATCAATTCTGGGAAGGTAATAGCCTCTCAAGTGCGTTGAGGAGACTCATAGGCTTGGAGATCTGCTGCCTGGGTTCAGATCCTTGCCTTATCTCTCTGCCACTGTGAACTCTGGGGTAGATTACTTGAATTTTGAGGGCTTCATCCCTTTCCTCCAAACTTTAAGGTGAGATGACAGTAGTCTGTCCTTGTCCCACTTGTGAGGAGTAAATGCATTCCCAGCCTGGAAGACTCGGGTCTGGTTGTGTTTAAGATGGTGTAACTGTAGATGCCATGGCACATGGAGAGGGAAGGCACGCTAGTCTGTGGAATTTACTGCTGTGTGGATTCTGTTGTGCCGGAAGAGATGCAGGCCCAGAGGCACAGGCTGTTGTTTTCTGAAGCCTCTGCTCTAGTGCATGCTAGACACTGTCTTCAGTTTGAGGCCATTGGTTCGAAGTCTGCTGTCCACTTCCCCAAATGTATCATCTTAAAAAGGAAGGGGGACAGCCCCTGTGTGGTTGAATGTTCTGGTTGTCATTATTGCAAATGATGTAGGTGACAGTGGTCATGGTTGACTTCTCTGGACAGTGATGTAGAAATTGAGCATGGGGCACGGGGAAGGTGGAAAGCAGGGATTCCAGACAAAAATGGTCCAGCTGCAATTCCGGAGGTGGTGGAGGTCAGATCACACATGGCCTGGATGTAACCTAGCAGTTGTTGAAGGTTTTTTGTTAATTTCTCAGCTTAGCCCTGCTGGCATTTGAGGATGGAGAATTCCCTCTTGTGACAACCAGAATGCCTCTAGATATTACCAAGTTATTTTCATAGTTGAGTAGGGGCGAATATGCCAAACAGAGCTACTAGTGTGACAGAGGTTTCTGGAAACTGCTGGTAAGAGATAGGCAAGCTCAGGCTGAGGTGTGGCTGAGGTGTGTTGCAGTCCCTTCTGGGTGTTGGGTAGGGTGTGAACTAGGCTGGATGTTCAGGGAACGGCATTGGGAGTTGAATGGAGGCTGGGGCTGTGGATACAGCTCAGCTCGCAGCATCTGTTCAGTGCAAGTATGAGGATCAATGTTTGATCCTCAGCACTGTGTAAAAGCCCAGGCATGACAGCGTATGCTTGTACTTGCAGGACTGGGGAAGGTAGCTATAGGAGGCTTTGCTCAACATCCCCTTAGCCAAATTGGTGAGTTCCAGGTTTGGTGAGAAACACTTACATGAAGCAGAGTGTTGACCAGTAGTTGGTTTCATCTTCAAAGAGTTTTTAACTTTTGAGTATCATCAAGCCAGGGGACTGGAGAAATGACTCAGTGGTTAAGAGCGCATGTGTGCACAAACACACACACACACACACACACACACACACACACACACACACACACACGTGCGCGCGAAAGAAAATTACTAAGCAAACTGTGTTGTGTTCTGTGTACTGTTATGAACCTCTCATCCCAGCCCTTGGGAGGCGGAGGCAAAAGACTCCCTTGATCACCTTGGGGCTAGCCTGGGCTACCTGGTAAGATTCTATTGGCTATCTTGTTGCTCCTAATACAGGAGAGAAACCCAAAGAAGAAAATCTGACCTTGAAATCAAAGTACAAGCACTTAAATATCGGATTTACTGAGGGCTGCCAGATGTGAGGCCCTCCCCGGGGCTCCCTACTCTAATGTATTCTTGCCTTGCAGATGAATGAAATTGAAGTATGTCCAGAATGTTATCTTGCTGCTTGCCAAAAACGAGACAACTGGTTCTGTGAACCCTGTGTAAGTTGGACGAGATCCCTTTATTTCACTCTTGCAACTCTGGTGCCTTCGGTGGCTGCACCAAGAGGCCCCTCTCCAGGGATTCATGAGATGAGGTTGGGAAGTTTTACATAAGTTCTGAAAAAGTCAGGGCACAATAGAACGAACTGGCCTTGGGTGAACCCTCTTGGGCTGAAGTGTTTTGTTCCAGAGTTAAATGTTCTGGTAACTAGGTTGACTCAAAAGAGGCATGTAGCAAGTGTGATGCAGGTCATAGGATGTGTCAGAGTCAGTCTGCAGTTTGCTGTGTCATTTTTAAATCTTGTCGGGTCTGTTTTAAGACCTTTGCCTTAGTCTCTCCCGAGAGATTGTTATTTTATGTGTGGCAAAGTCACCATCTTGGACTTCTGTTTCTCCTACAGTGTTGGGAGTTGATTGAATCCAGTAATTTCTTTTTTTCTTCTGAGACAGGGTTTCTCTGCATATCCCTGAGTGTCCTGGAACTTACTTTGTAGACCAGGCTGGCCTAGAACTCACAGAGATACGCCTGTCTCTGCTTCCTGAGTGCTATGATTAAAGGCGTGTGCCACTACCACAGGGCAAATCCAGTACGTTTTAAGCAGTGGTTCTCAACCTTCCTGATGCTGTAACCCTTTAATATACAATTCTTCATGTTGCGGTGACCCCCAACCATAGAGTTATTTTGTGGCCACGCCATAAGTGTAATTTTGCTACTGTTGTGAGTCATAATGTAAAATACCTGTGTTTTCTGATGGTCTTAGACAACCCCTGTGAAAGGGCCATTCGGTTCCCCAAAAGGGTCAAGACCCATAGGTTGAGAACTATTATTTTACAGAGACGTGTACTGTGGGGTGGAGTGACTGGTATATGAGAGAGGCAGGGTGGAGGGCTGGAGAGGACAAGACTGGACAAGTGACTGTTAAAGCATAGCTCAGGCTTCGTCTTGCCTCTGGAGATAAAGAGCAGCATATGGACTGCAGTATCCCCCACAGATGAGTGGTCCCTGCAGCTTACTCGCCTACTGTCCAAACAGCACAGACTGAGTGTTGGCTGTTTCTATGGTACCTAGAGAGGTGGCTTTTCTTACTCATTGTCACTGTCGTAATAATGAGTAGAGCCAGGACCCAAGCCTGATTCCTTTCAATGTTTCAACATTTCTTTTTCTTAAAGACAGGCTTTCTCTGTGTAGCTGTGGCTGTCCTGGAACTCACTCAGTAGAACAGGCTGGCCGTGGACTCAGGTATCCGCCTGCCTCTGTCTCCTGAGTGCTGGGATTAAAGGCTTGTGCCACCATGCCAGGCTCACTTCCAACTTTTAAGGCCCTCCCCAGCTGTGTCCAGGCTGCACCCCACCGAGGGACACGTGTGAGGACCCTGCTTGCAGCTGTCTTCTTTCCATGTTTGACTTGTGTCCCGTTTTGCCTTCTAATTACTGTGATAAACACCATGGCCAAAAGCGACTCAGGGAGGAAAGGGTTTATGTCATTTTACAGCGTCATCCAAGGAAGTCAGAGCAGGACCCAAAGCAAAGGCCTTAGAGGAGGGGGGCTGCTCACTGGCTTGCTCCTCATGGCTTACTCTGCCTGCTTTCTTACACACCCAGGACCACCGGTTCAGGGGTGGCCCCACCCTCCAGTGGCCTAATCCCCTCCCATATCAGCCATTAATCAAGAAATACCCCTGCAGGCCAGTCTGAGGGAGGCCTTTTCTCACCGTGACCCCTTTTCCAGGGTGACGTAAGCTTGTATCAAGTTGACAAAAACCTAAGCAACCGGGCCTGCATTCCTTCCTATCTCCCTGCGTTCAGATTACCTTTCAGACTTTACTGTGTGTCTTGCTGCCAAATCTAATGCCAACTCTGCCTTTTGTTCTTCTTCTAGAGCAATCCGCACCCTTTGGTCTGGGCAAAACTGAAAGGGTTCCCCTTCTGGCCAGCGAAAGCTCTGAGGGACAAAGATGGGCAGGTTGATGCCCGTTTCTTTGGACAACATGACAGGTGGGAGTTTAAGAACAGGCTCCGAGTGGAACCCTGGGTACTAACATCAGATCTTAAAGGTGGCGGAGCATCTGGCTGTTGTTTGTGCTGTTTTTAAAAGCAAATTCTGCCTTTTATTAGTAACGACTGTAGCTGTTGTTTGATTCATTGTCATAACAACCGTTGGTCGAGTGTTGGCAAATAACGTTTACCGGTTCTGTGTTAGGCGCAGTGAGGGGAGGGCTTCACTCGGTGGCTTTAAGAGTCTTAGGAAAGAATCACGCCTCCATGGTTCTGTTGATGGATCTGGCTGGGAGCGAGTTCCATGGCTGTGTGAAGTGCTGCTGTTTGATATGCAGTTTTTTATTTATTTTGTTTTCTGGAGTAAATTAAACCTCTGTGCAAATTACTTTTAAAAGTCATGCTTTTAGGGACTGAGGTAGTTTTCTAGATTGCCGCTAAATGGTTCTCTTAGCATTAGGTGGAGTAGTCTCCCCATTCCCCCTTCTCTGTATCTAAAATGGGAAATGACAGGGGGGGATGATGTTTTGACAGGTGTGAACCCTCCCTCGCAAGCCTCCCCACCCTCCCCTTTCGTTCCCACACAGGCTGAATGGAGTTATGGAGTCATTCCAGCTAACAGCAGCTCCCATTGCCTTGGCGCCCCGCCTGCCTGCGAACAACAGGTAGTCAGAGGTGCTGCTTAACGCGTTCCCTTTCAACAAGTTACCTTATGATTAAATGAAGCAAAGGTTCCTGCAGAGCTCCCCTCCCCGCCCCCCCAAAAGCATTTCGAGAGGGCATGCGAGGGAGTGCATAGGAGTTAAAGTCATGTACCACACCATATGCATATTTTTAGTGATACAGGCATCTCACATAGCATAAGTTTTCACCTGGCTTTTTGAGTAAAAGGAAAAAATTCATTTGAGAGATCCAGTTTCTTACAGAAATCCCAGCAGGTCTCTTTGTCAGGGGAATAGGGGTGGCTTTGGCAGGGAGTGTCTGTCACACTTCTATTTTGACCCTCCCATCTCTAACTCCCCCCACCCCCTCAGGGGCTCACGTAGCCTAGGCTGCTCTCAATTTGTTTTGCATTAGAAGGTGACCCTGAGCTCCCGATCTTCCTCTCCATCCGAGTGCTGGAATTCCAGGCATACACCTTGATATCTGGTGTTCTGATGGAGCTCAGGGCTTCCTGCATGCTAGCCAAACTCTCTACCAAGTGAGCTGTATCCCCAGGCCCTCTCCATCCAGTCCTATCCTGAACTTCAGCATTCCTTCATTTCGGGAATGTGTTTCCCCGGGCTGTTTCCAGGCTGCAGTGCAATAGCTAGCAGGCAGATACTTGTCCAAGTGGGCTGCTAGGCTAGCTATCTCCCATCTGTAGGAAATGGCTTGGTGTGAAGCTGTCCACAGAGCTGGAGGGGCGGAGGCAGTGGAGGGCTGTGCCTGCAGAGGCTATGCTATAATTAAGTGGTTTGAGCTGGGTGTTTGGAGGAGAGTGAGGGTTTTCTTTCTGTTCTGATAGCAGGAGGAGCTGGTGGCTGGCTGTGCCTTATGCATCTCATCACAGAGCACTTGTGTTCATTTTTTTTTTTTTTTTTTTTTTTTTTTTTTGAGACAGGGTTTCTCTGTGTAGCTTTGGAGCCTGTCCTGGCACTTGCTCTGTAGACCAGGCTGGTCTTGAACTCACAGAGATCCACTTGCCTCTGCTCCTCGAGTGCAGGGATCAAAGGCGTGTGCCACCACTGCCCAGGCTTGTGTTCATATCTTAATAGGTGAAGGTTTCTCTGTGGGACAGCACTGTGGATTCACCTACAGGGGTGTACATTAGTGGGTGGCCTAGCAGGGTGTCCCCATTTACCAAATGGTTCCTGTCTCACAGAGCTCCTGGCTCTGTTTCTTCTACTATGACCTTCCTGTCAGCCTGCCATTAAAGTTGACCTTGGGGGCATTACAGGCCCCAAAAGCATTGCTTGTCCTCCATGCCAAGGCGGTTGTCGTAGATGTATAGTTCTTCCCTTGGTTTTGGCTGGGAGCTGGCCTAGAGCCAGTTGTCTGAAAGCTGGGAGCTTTCCTGTTCTCCCGCAACATCCCCATCCTTCTCGGTTTATCTGTAGTGTTTCCTATTTCCTCTGCAGGGTTCAGTTTGGGCAAGGTGGGCCTGCTGTGGATGTGTGAATAGTCCTTACTTCTCTGGTACCAACACTTCGGAGGCCCATGGTGTACCTGTCACTGGGAGCTGGTGTACAGATTCTCCCCATGGGAATGAATTCTTGCTTCCCAGACAGGGACCCCTCCTCCCTCTTCCCCTCCTCCCCCTCCCCCTCCTCCTCTTCTTCATCATCATCACAGGGTTTCTCTGCGTAGCCGTGGCTGTCCTGGAACTCTCAGAGTGCCTCTGCCTCGAGCGCTGGGATCGAGGGCTTGTGCCACCACTCCCGACGTATGAAAACCAACCCAGGCAGGCACATCTACAGTCTGCTCTGCTAAAGTGTGAGGTAACCGTGGTGATGCAGGGAGCCATGGGAGGCATACATCAGGCCCCATAGCTGTGAAAACCTAGGCATGTTAACAGTGATCTAGGTCAGGCTAAGACACATCCCAGAAGCCCTCACTCAGCTTGTAGTTGCTTAGCCTGAGAATAAGCCTATGGAGGCTCTGGCAAAAGTCATGGGATTGTGTGAAGACTTTTCTTTTTTGTTTTGTTTTTCGAGACAGGTTTTCTCTGTAGCCTTTGCTGTCCTAGAACTTGCTCTGTAGACCAGGCTGGCCTTGAACTCACAGAGATCCGCCTGCCTCTGCCTCCTTAATGCTAGGATTGAAGCAGTGCTGCTGGTAGTAAAGGCGTGTGCCACCATGCCCGGCATGCTTTTTATCTTTCAAAAGAATTGTTTGTGTGGTCTCAGACATATGTACCATTATCTAAAATTATAAGAAACTCTTAGTTCAAATGATCGCAAGGCCTTAGGGAAAATACCTGTTAGCCACCATGTGCCTTCTGTGTAGTTGAGCAGGGCCTCGTTGTAGCCAGGCTAGCCTTGAACTTGTGTTTCCTCTGCCTCAGCCTCCTGAGGGTTTGGTGTTACAGACACCAGGCACTTTGCTACTCTTTGAAGTTGCTGCTTTCACCTCAGTCTTCCTGGTGAGAAAGCGGAAGCCAAGAGAGGGCAGTGCTGTGCCCAGGGCCCCTGGGGAGAGAGCAGCACTCAGGCTGCTGTGGCGGCCCCTCCCCGAGGCCTTCTGTGATGAGGAAACAGAATCTCATCCCCTTTTGAGGAAAAAGCTTGTTTTTGTTTAGGGCCCTTAAGACACTTGGGGGGTAGGGAAGGGAGGTAGGGGAGGGGATGTTGGGGGCCAGTTATGGCCCTTGCAAGGGCAAGGACCTTGGCTTGTGGCTCCTGGCAGGGAAGCCCCTGGTGCTGACTCAGGAGTTTGCTTTCTTGGAGTTGTTTCTCCTAGGCGGGGAGTGTCTGGGGCAGCCCTGGTGACTCTGGTGGCTCTCACTGCTCCCTTACCCCGCCCAGAGCCCTGTCTCTTCTTGCGGCTGCTTGCAACAATTTCTTAGACATGAGTATCTTCAGGTCCCAGCAGCAAGCTGTCCCTAGCACACAGGGATTTGCTCACTTCTAGCACCTGAAGTCAGTTGTGTGTTGGGGGTCTCACTTGCAGCCTGGCTCTGTGCTGAGCTTGGCCTCTGCACAGGCTCCTTTCTTGTGTGCCATTTCCTCTTCAGATGTTGGATTCCAATGCCTTTTGCTTCTCTTCAAAGACCAGGGAGACCAGAAAGGTTGGGCCCAGAGTTCTGTGTCAGTGCTGACAACGTAGCTCTCTTACAGGAGCAAGTGGCTTCTTTCCTTCTGGCTCCCACCATATTTGGTGGCTTTATGGCAGGCTTAAGTTTGAGGTTCAGGAACCATTAGAGTTCCTGGTCTCCATGGAAAAGTTATGAAGGAGACTGAGACTGTAGAGTTAGGATTGCAGCTATTGAGATGTTCTGTTGTCCCTAATCCACAGGAGTGTGGTTGGGTGTTCTCTGTCCTTCCTTCTGTCATGGGAGGAGGTGGGGGAGTCATGGGGAGTTTCCGGTTCTGGAAAAGCATCACCAATGCTTTTGGTTTCAGGGTCTCTGCAAACTTCCTGGAGTGTGGGGGCTGACAGAGGGGAAAGGCACCTCCCTCCCTGGAGGAGCAGGTGGAGAGTGCCCAGCCCAGAGCCAAAGGCTACTTAGTTTACCCCATGCTTGCTTTCTCATAAGCTGCCAGGCCTAGCAAGGTCCTCAGGAGGTGGAGGCAAGGATGATCCTGAGTTGCAGGCCAACCTGGACTTAGGTAGTGAGAGTCTGTCTCAAATGAATCTGAAATTTGCACCTCCTTGTAGGAATATGGACTTGCAAAGAATAGTCCCGAGTTTGGAATTGCAATGAGAGGGGATCCACATTCAGCTGGCCCAGGAAATGTGCCCGCTTCAGATGTGGCAAGCAGGACTCTTTGACTGTTTTTCTTACTCTGAAACAGCAGAAAACCAAAGGGATTGTCGTTTTGTTTATTTTTGCCTCTTAATATTTATTTGGTCACTTTTGTGTGCGTGCCTGGGAGTGCCACAGCGCATGGGTGAAGACCAAAAGGCAACTTGAGGGAGGTGGCTTTCTCCCTTTCCTCATGTGGGTCTGCCAACGCAGGGCCTTAGGCTTGGCAGACGCGCTTTCACCTGCTGAGCCATCTTGAAGGCCTCCATTGTGTTTCTAACAGATTAAGATGGCCAAGTGCATGAACCCTTTTCACATCCTGGCTAAGTTTTGTTGTTCGTGTTCCATCCTTAATACCTCTGTGAAGTGGATCATTCATTAACCATTCAAAACAAGCCGCTTATTTAAAAAGGAGAACCCACATTTAGGAGTTTTGGCAGGTGGCCGCTGGGCTAATTTGGGTTGCATTAAGAAAATTAAAAGAATAAACAATCTTGGAAATGAGTGAAGCTGACTTGGTCTCTCTCTTTTGCCCTCCTAGAGCCTGGGTTCCAATCAATAATTGCTACCTCATGTCTAAAGAAATCCCCTTTTCTGTGAAAAAGACTAAAAGTATCTTCAACAGCGCCATGCAAGAGATGGAAGTTTACGTGGAGAACATACGGAGGAAGTTTGGGGTTTTTAATTATTCCCCGTTCAGGACACCCTATACCCCCAATAGCCAGTACCAAATGCTGCTCGATCCTAGCAACCCCAGCGCCGGCACTGCCAAGACAGACAAACAGGAGAAGGTGAAGCTCAATTTTGACATGACAGCATCTCCCAAGATCCTCCTCAGCAAGCCCCTTCTGAGTGGGGGCGCAGGCCGCAGAATCTCCCTGTCTGACATGCCACGCTCCCCTACGAGTACGAACTCTTCTGTGCACACGGGCTCCGACGTGGAGCAGGACCCCGAGAAGAAGGCCCCATCCAGCCACTTCAGCGCCAGCGAGGAGTCCATGGACTTCCTTGATAAGAGCACAGGTCAGCCCCAGTTGGGAGAGTGGGGTAGGAGGCTGTTTGGCACACTCTGGTTCCTTGGGTGACTCACCCATGGGTACAAGCAAGCCGGTCAACACAGCCATCATGGGGCACTGTGATGAACTAGCTAAATGAGTAACAGATCCCAGCCACAAGGGATGGAGATGGGCGGAAACCTTGTAGGGCTCAAGGCCAATATCAAGGCGTCTTAGCTCTTCATAGCAGTGTTCTGTGACTGTTTTTTTCTCATTATTTTGTACTCGGAAGCTTAGTTTTCGATACATTCATGGTAAGGTTAACTCAGGTGTTGTGAAAACAAGGTGGAACTTATCTCCCAGTTACTGCACACCTTTCAAGGCTGCATTTTGGGGATGATGCTAGTGCTAGTGTCTATTCCCAGGCTTTCCACTCAAAGCCGATGTGGCTTTGGGCAGCATATTTGATGTCTTTACACCTTAGTCTCCCCACTGTAACCATGACAACCCTAACTGGCTGCCTGTGGGCTCTATTGAGGACAGAATGAGTTGGGCCATGGCACTATTTTCCTGGTGATTTCTAATCTGCTGTCTCCATGGATCTGAGAAGGGGTACAATGAAGGGGTGATTTAAGTAGAAAAAACTCTTCACAAAATTGAACCGCATATTTCATATTCGTTAAGTTTATCTTTCTGAGATGGTGCAGGCTGGTCTCTGACTGATGCTTCTGCCTCCATCTTCCAGGTGCTGGGATTACAAGTGGGCTCTACCACAGTTGCCCTTTTAAAAATTGGCTCGAAGTTAGTGCATAATAAAATATGCATCTTCATGTGCAAGCTCCCCTTTGCTCTCCTGTTCTGCATTTCCAAAAAGTTTTATAGGAATATAAGAACGCCTGTCGTTTAGCGTGACATCAAGCCTTATGACAATTAATTGTTCATTGAGAGATGTTTTTTACTTTTTTAAAGGTGAGAGCTTAGACTTCAAAGTCCCGATCCTAAAAATATAAAACCAGCCTTACTTCATTTTATATGGCCATCTTATAGGATTAGCAAATGTCTCAGGCATGGTGGGGTTGTGTAGGAGGATCAGGAGTGTAAAAACAGTCTTGATCACATGAAAGCCTATCTCAAAAATACTAAAAATAAAACAAAAACAAAACTAAACCCTCAAAAAAGAAAAAGGGGTGACATTCAGAATGGCTTCACTCTCACAAATTGTACCCCTTCCCGTCTGGGACCCACAACCGACATTTTGGGGGTAGGTTCTGTGTTTTGGTCATGGCTGCAGCTGTTGACATTGATACTGAGTTTCAATAAAACTTTATTGGTGTTGTTTGAACACTGAAGACTGAAGTGTATGCTTTAAGAACTATTGAGTTGTGAGTTGGGCTGGAGAGATGGCTGGATGGTCAAGAGTACTGGTTGCTCATGCCAACCAGCTGGATTCAGTTCTTTTTACCTGCACGGCAACTCCCAACCATCTGTAACTCCGGTTCCAGGCGCTCTGGTGTTCTCTTCTGACCTTGGTCACTGGGCATGGACATGGTGCACAAACAATGCAGGCAAAACACTCATGCCCAGGAAGAAAAGAAGTATTGAATTTTTGGTGCCCTACTCCAAGGTTAAATACCCTTCTTAAATAGCAAGCCACACAGGGGCAGGGGACAGATTGATCCCATAGCTGTTACTGTAGACTATAAGGATCAGAAGCCCTTCCTGTCAAGGTGGCACACTTCCCACCCAGGTCATGAAGCGGGCCTACACCGCCTTCTCTCCCTCTTCCGTTAGCAGTTCGAGAAGCAGATGTGCATCTTCATTTAGACTTCCCCACAGTTAGGGACCATGCAGTTGAGATCAGGCTGGGGTCCATCCAAAATGCCAGAAAAATTTATCATAGTATAAAATAGAAAAAGCATGGAAGTACCTTTCAGAATCCAGAGGACCCATTATGCTGTGATGGGCCATGTGTTACCAGGAGAATTTAGAGCCTTGGTTTTTGTTTCTTCTTGTGATGGGCTCAGCATATAAGCTCAGGTGTCCTCCTTAAATCCAATCTCTGCCTGCCTCCATTTCCCTCGTGCTGGAATTAAAGGGGTGTTGCCTGTGTGTGTGTGTGTGTGTGTGTGCATGCATGTGGGTGAGCATGCCTGCTTCATGTCAAGGTCAGAGGGCAGCTTGCTGAGGCCAGGCCTCTGCTTCTTGAACTCAGGTCACCAGGCACAACGACAAGAACCTTTGCCTGCTGCATTGTCTCACTAGCCCCAATGCCATTTTTCTATTTGGGACACTCCGTTTCTCATCCTAGAAGCAGATAAAGCTGTCTAAGCAGCCCTCTGCTCATCAGGGAGCCTGTAGCTGCCACAGCCCTGGGTCCCATTTTTGCCTCAAACCAAAGTGGTTTCTACACCAATCCCACCCCCTCATTGGGGCCGCTTGGGCAAATGGGGCTTCATCAGCATTTGCCAGCTGTTGCCAAAAGACCCCAGTGGAAATGTTAATGTGTGCTGTGGTCCCGTCCTGAGCCTGCAAAGCCCTCTGAGCTAATGGTGCTTTGGTCTTTGCATTCCTCTGTGGGGCTGCTGTCAGGGAGGAGGGAAAGTGTTCGCACAGACTCCCTTTTATTGGGAAATCAATAGTTGTCATAAAAGAGCTGTCTATGACAAATACTTAAGTCACTACTAACCCTCCCTCCTATGGCCAGCTCTCCCGAGGAGTTACACGGTGTGCTATTAAGTTGAACCTCAGGCACTTCAGAGCCATGAAGGGAGGGGAGCGGGGCAATGAGAAGCAGTGTTCTGTCTCAGTGTGACCCGCCCTGCGCTTCTGCTCATGGGCACTGGTGTGCACAATGCCTCCCCAGATGCCTTCCACACTTGTGTGTGAGTGTGTAGGCGTGCATGCACCTGTGTCTGCTGTGGCACATGTGTGGGGATCACAGGACATCTTGCTGGACTCAGTTCTCACCACCACTTAGTTCCCAGGAATTAAACTCAGGTCATCAGCCTTCAGGGCAAGTGCCTTCACCAGCTGCGACGCCTCTCTGGCCCCAGGAGTTGCTCTTTAGTATTTTGTTAAGGAAGGGTTACTTCCTTCATGAGTGGCATATGACCTGAAGGTTCCCAAATCCTGAACTAAAGCGGCACGGGACTTCTTGTCACCTAGCTCTTGATACAAATGTGGATGCAATAAGGCCAGATTGCTGGTACAGCAGGAGAAGATTCAGGCTTTAAGTACTGGTTCATTTTGTGTGTGCGAATGTGTCCATGTCCTCTAGCTTCCGTCTGTTGCTGTGATAAGCACCACAGCAAATATACACAGAAAACAATGGCCTTAAGTCTGATTTTTATCACAAGCAGAGTAGCATCCTCTGGGTGTCAGCAGGTTTCGCCACACTCTGCATTTTACTTTTTTGTTTTTGGGAGACAGGGTCAGGGTTTTACTCTATAAACCTGACTGGTAGCCTGGAACTCAATATATAGACTAGGCTGAAATATTTTTTTTTTGTTGTTGTTTTGTTTTTGTGTGTCCATGTACCATATGTTGCCTGTAGAGGCCAGAGGAGGGCATCAGATTTCCCTGATACTGGAGTTATAGATGGTTGAGAGCTACCATGTAGGTGCTGGGAGCCAAACCCAGGTCCTCTTGCAAAAGCAACAAGTGCTCTTAACCACAGAGCCATCTCTCCAACCCCTTAGGCTAGATTTGAACTCACAGAGATCTACCTGGTTCTGCAATCAGAATTCTGGGATTAAAGACATATGCCACTGATATCTGATCTATGCTTTCATTCATTAATTTGTATGCATGGGTTTGTCATGGCACATGTGATGTAGTCAAATATCAACTCATGAGATCCAGTCCTTTCTTTCTACCATGTAGGTGGCAAGCACCTTTACTCACTGAGCCCTATAGCTGGCCTACATTTTTACTTTTGAAACATGGCACACTCATTTGCAGTCTGTGACGTTTTGCTGTTTAGTGCTGGCTTGAGGTTCTGTTGCCCTTCATGCTTGAGCCTCATCACATCCCTGAAGGCCCAAGCAGAGCCCTGATAGACCTGCTTATTTACTCAGTACACAGCTAGAGAAGCCTAGGTCTTTGATGCTTGGGGGCATTACATTCCCCGATCTTTTTTAGCTATCTCAAACGGCAGTGAATGAATTATTTAAAGCATTCTTCTAGTAGCAGTTTTGTTGGTAATGCATGCTTTAAAATGCCTCACTTGGGGCTGGCAAGATGTCTCAATAAAGTGATTGTCTTGTGAGCACGGGGACCTGATTCGATGTCTGGAACCCATGTAAAAATGCTAGGCATGCATGGTGGTACATGCTTGTTAATCCCAGTGCTGGGCAGGAGGCTGCCTACTTTGGGGGAGTTCTAGGCTAATGAGAAGCTAACAAAAAACAAAACAAATAAGCAAATTGTGGACAGCATGCTGGGCACAATACCCAATACTGTCCTCAGGTCATCATGACACACTTGTACACGAAACGTACACACGTGCCTTGCCCCACAAGCATGCTTATACATGCACACATGGCTCGCTTCTTCTCATTTCCCTGTAGCAAGCACGCCAACCTGTTTGTTCCAGTACTTTGGAAGTAATAGTGATTACCCCAGCAACAACCGCAGGGAAAGGAAGGCAGCCTGCCTGGTGACTAGGCCACGTAGTCTGCTAATCCCTATGGTAAAATGGATTTAATATTTATAAAACTTCATTCTCAAATAATTTTTAATGTTTGTTGAACACTGTCCAAGAGAGTGAACATGCATCTGATTGTTATTTCAGCCTCATGTCCAGAGGCGGGAAAGGATTTCCACGTTTGCTCCTTGATTCATGTAGTTTTTTTCAACTCAGGAGTGGCATTTGAGACCGGATCCTTTTTTCTTATTTATGTTTAAGGTTTATTTTAAGAAGTGTTTTTTTATTTTTAAAGGAATTTTAATTTATTTACATTGGTGTCAGGGTCCCCGGGACTGTAGTTACACATGGATGTGTGTGTGTGTGTGTGTGTGTGTGTGTGTGTTAATGCCTGCCCGCATAGGCCAGAACAGAGTGTTAGATTTCCTGGAACTAGAATTAAAAATGGCTGAGTTCAGCCATGTGGGCGATGATAATTGAATGCGGGTCCTTTGTAAGAACAGCAATTGCTGAGCCCCCTCTTTAGCCCTTAGATGATAATTCTTCATGGTGGGGATTTCCTGTCCCTTGTAGGGTATTTCTGTAACCAGATAGCAGTAGCAACCCATGTCCCTAGTCATGGCAACTAGAGTTACCTGCACATGTTGCCTAGCAGGTGCCGGTGAGGATGATGCAAGGACCACTGGTTTCCATGGTGACACCAAAGTCTAGTAAGGTGCTGTGGACACCACACTTCCTGGATGCCCGGTGCCCTAGACATGATTGACGGTTGGATTCGGTTCTCACTCTAACCAGATGGGTGTGGGTACTTTTCTCTTCTGTCCCTCTCTCCAAGGGAACTGCAGACACAGGCACCTGGCCTAAAGTCATCAGGGCTGAGATTTGAACCCTAAATACCCACCTCTGAGTCCAGGTCTCTCTAGCCCCATGCTCTTATGCTAGAAATTAAATTGTAGGGCTGGAGAAGTTGCTTGGTGGCCAAGAGTGTGCTCTGCACTTGCTGTCTCTTCAGTTGTGAGGGATCCGATGCCGGATGGTCCCAGTGGGCCCCTGGACTCACACATCTCACCTTACCCCAGACTCACACATACTCACACCCCCGCCCCCGTTGATACACAGAACTCAGACCATACCTGCCCAGCTCTCTGCCTCAGAGCAGGCAGGTCTCACTGTGCAAGCTGCGTGGCTTGCAACCTGCCTTATAGCTGAGCATGGCCTTGAACTCCTGATCTTCCTGCATCTGCCTCCTCTGCTGGGATTACAGAAACACCACACCTGGCCTACATTTTTTATACTCTCGGATGCTATCTAGCTTCCTACCTTCTTGGGCCGTTCATGTCAGGACCAGATCGCCACAGCATCTCCTGACTTCAGGCTGAGGTTTTCAGGGACCAGGAGCCATGCTGGGCGGTCCCAAAAATGTCTGAAGTAATGTGTGGAGATAACAAGTCCAGACTGGGTGGGTCCTTAGACAGCTCTTAGCCTCTCTAAGTCAGTGACAGAAATCGTTTTAAGAATAAGTCTAAAAGTCTCAGACATGAGGCTTACTGTCCTTACTGTACTGTAGGAGTTTGAACCTCACCAAGGAAGAAGACAATTTGCCAAAACCTTCTTTCCTCCCTGTATCTTGTACCCAGCTTTCATGTATCCCGAGAAACCCTGAGCCAGGAGCTGGAACTCCCTAGGATCACTGGTCAGAGGGTGGTGCAGGCTGTGAGCCGCCCCTCGGACTCTCTGTAATGGTCACCATGCCTTTGGCAAGCCTGGTTCTGACCTATGGTCTTGATATGGGAGGGGTTTGCTGTGGTCACTGTCTGAGATTAACACCCGTGAGTGGGCTAAGGCAATTGCAATGGTAGCTCAGCCATTGTCTTAAGAGCTCTGTGTTTAATAGGCTGCCCAGCTTGGCTGCCCTGTTGTTTGGTGACAGCCCTTTGTTGGCAGTTCATGGCCACTCTCCCAATCAGATGGCATCCAGGACACTGGGCTGCACATGCAGAATACCTTGTGCCTTCTCTCCTGTCCCCAGTCCTAAACCTGTGAGTACTGCTGATTTGTGAAGCTGGCTTCTAACCATGACGTGCTTTTCCAGCTTCCCCAGCCTCCACAAAGACGGGGCAAGCAGGGAGTCTGTCTGGCAGCCCGAAGCCTTTCTCTCCGCAAGCACCGACACCCATCATGACGAAGACAGACAAGACGTCCACCACTGGGAGCATCCTGAATTTGAACCTGGGTCAGTGGCTTTTCCAGATGTGTGTTTGGTGGCAGTAACAGCTTCTGCGCTTTGTTCTTTTGTGAGTGGGTTCTTGGCAATTGGAAATGTAAGAACTTCGGTGGATGCAGGTAAGGGGTGAACCAGAGGAAGGACCAGGGCAAAGGATTGCCCAAGGCTTGTTGGCATGCAAACGTGTTTTCCCACACATTATTCTGGGCCTGTCCTTACAAGTGATCCTTACAAACCAGTTTCCTCCTGTGTAAATATACATGGCTGAGGTGAGTTTCGTGAGTCTTACCATTTCTGGGTGGGTGTTTAAAATTTTCCTATTTACTATTTTATGAGTATGCTTCCCCAGGGCCTGTGGAGGCCAGAATTGAATTGGAGTTAGATGTCTGGAAGTTGCAATGTTGGTACTGGGACCTGAACCTGGATTTGTTAGCAGAGCTAGTGCTCATAACCCTGGCTCATAACTTTGGCTCCTGTTAGTTTTTAATCTCCTGAATTACTGGCTTTTATGCCCACAAGCTTTGGGTTGGCTGTTTTATTTCTTTACACCTTTGGAGATTAGGGTTTAGCGTCCTGTGCATGCTAGACAAGTGTGTTTTGAGACAAGGTTTGCCTGTGTACTGCAGCTGCCTTTCAGCTTGCCTTCTTGTAGCTCAGACCTGCCCTGGATTTCAAGTGCCTCCTGTCTTTACCTCTCATGTGCTGATTATAGGCACATACCACTGGGCCTGGCTGCAGTAGGTACGGGTGTGTGTGTGTGTGTGTGTGTGTGTGTGTGTGTGTGTGTGTAAGACAGTATGAGTGGTATGAGTGAGTGACAGGATCTACCCATGAAGTTCTAGCTTGCAGTTAATTTTCTATGCGGCCTAGGGTGGGTGGCCTGCATGCATCCCTGGGAGCAAGGGGCAAACGGTGAGATTACTGTAAAGTTAATTGACTTGGGCCTGTAGCTCCTGTTTTGCTGAGTAACTGAATGCTGCCACCTTGTGGTAGGAGGCTGGATGTGCAGCTAAGTATCCAATGCTTGTGAGGCAGCCACAGTGGATCTTGAGGTTGAGAGCTGGGGTTAAAGTGTTCAGAAGGAGCAAGGGCTCTGGGTCTCTGGAGCTGGTAGGGATCAGTAAAAGGAAGAGCAGGGGGCAGGAGGGCAGAGAGGAAGCATTTCTAGGAGTTTGATGCCGTGGAAACCTTGGGACAGAACATTTTGGCTGGGGGTGGGGGAGGCACCTGTGTGCAGCATCGTGTGTAAGTTCTCAGCACCCTGCAGTGCTGTTGCAGATGGTGGCTCAAAGACCTGAACAGGTGGTTTGGAGATCTCAGAGTAACAGGGCTGGAGGCCGCCAGGGACAATCCACCTCTGTCACCTATCTGCATTGTGGCTGGAGATGGATAGTCAGGTCCTTCTAAGATTCCACCCAGAACCACCAGCTGATTGCTCACTTGATTCAGAAGGGAGCCGCTTGCCGTCTTGGGGACATTTGTTCTAGGAAATGTGGTTTCTTTTCTCGGCCGCCTCCCACCTTCAGGCTCTGAACAAAGGCATTAAGTGGAGGCGTTCTCACGGTGACATTTCCTCTCTGTCAGTCATGCCTGGCAAGAACAGTTCCTTCTGTGAACCGGGGTCCCCTGGGCATCCTAGTGACACCGTGGGTCTTTGAAGCTTGGCCTGATAGGTGGGTGTAACAGTGGGTGGCTCCAGGGGAGCCAGGATTTCTCTCCTCTCTTCCCCCATAACTCCTTCTGGGATATATGTCTCCTCTCAGCCAGTGGGAGCAAGAACATTGGGTACGAGGATAGTTTCCTGGCATGCAGTTTCAATCTCAGAGGGGTGCTCTGTGGGAACCCAGGAGGGCTCTGTGTGGGGGTGGGGAGGTTTCTAGGGCAGAAGGGCATGCTGCCTGATTGTGTATTAGTGCTGCAGACCATGGAGCCATTATTGTCCAGCGAAGCGAGGTTCCCTTTAAGATAGCGCATGGAGAAGCCAAATTAGATAAATGCCCGACAGACTAGCAGTTACCTGGCTTTGACTCCAAATTTGAAGTGGGTTATATTTTCTGTTTTTTTTCCCCCCACTCTTTTGAGGCAGAGCCTTACTATGTAGCTGTGGCTGGCCTCGAACTCTGCCTGCCTCTGTCTCGAATGCTGGGATTAACAGAATCTCTCTCCTCTTTTCTTCCCTGTCATGTATTTGTTTCATGCCTGCGTGGAGGTCAAAGGACAGCTTGGGGAGTTGTTCTTTCCACCATTCAGGTCCCAGGGCTTGAATGCAGCTGTTAGGTTTGGAGGCAGGAGCCTTTGACTCTTGAGCTCTCGCTGGGCCCTCTCTCTCTCTCTCTCTCTCTCTCTCTCTCTCTCTCTTGAGGCAGGTTATCATATAGCTCAGCCTGACCTGGAACTCACTATATACCCAAGGCAGGCCTTGAACTTTTGACTCCCCTGCTTCTAGACTCCTGCTTGTTCTTGTCTCCCAGAGAACGGAGCAGCCCAGCAGGCTGGCAGTCTTGACAGTGACTTTTGTGTCCTTGTCCTCTGGTGATGCTAACAGCCTTGGGAGAGCATTGCTGTAGCTCTGCTGGTTCCTCCCTCTCCTTCCCTTTCTCCTAGGTGACATTGCCACTTGCTTCCCATTTCCTTTATGCGTCTGTACCTTTGGTTCTCAGCTCTGAGTTTTATCCTTGGCAATATCTGTAATGTAGGACGTGGGCACCCCTGACTGGGGGTGGTGGTGGGACTAGGGTTTTTTACTAACCCTGAACCAGTACATCCCCACTGTGATTTCCCTGAGCCCCATGTCATCGGTAGCAATGCTGAGGACCTCAGTATTCACATACCTATCCTATCCCTTCCTCCCCACTCCAAGGCTCCCTGGCTGTACCCCTGGTTTCCTTTTCTTAGAAGGGGTTATCTGTTGATGTTCACTCAGGAGTCTGCCCCTGCTGTCTTTTATTAGCGTTTGTATTCATCGTAATCCCATTTGTGAGTAACCTGGAGCCTTCATCCTTACTGATGAACATAGGTTGTTGTCTGTTTTGATGCTGAAAGTAGCTGCAATGAAGACGTTTCTGTCCACGTGGGAGGGAAATCCATAGACAGGTGAGGAAGGGCCGGAGGCTTGACATTTGGAGAGAGTTGTCAGGTTACCCTGAAGTTGCTTGGCTTCATGCTCCCTTGAAGAAATGGAGTTGTGCCTTTCTGTTTCTAGCATGGCTATTTTTCTTCCCCGGTTTCCATTTTTAGCTGGAGCTGTCTTTATGTCAGCCGAAATGTTCAAAGCGCTGGCAGCCAGCAGGGAGCTTGAGCGGCTCCCCGTATAGAAGGGCAGTGGTGGCCGTCCCTGTGGTGAGGGAGAGAAAGCTTGCTTTCTCCCCACGCAGGAGAGGAGAGTCCAAATCTAGCCAGCACTCCAGGACAGACCATTTTGGCTTAAGTCCCCAAAAGCCTGATACTAGCCCTCATGCATTGAGATGAATAATAATGGTTTGGATACATATTAGTTTGTTGACCAGGGAATGCCTAATTTTGTAAAACGGGGGGGGGGCAATTTTGGATTATAGTAGTACAATATTAGTCTTTGAGACATAGGCACACATAGCAGTCCAGGGTGCCCTGATTGCTATGTAGGTCAGGCTGGCCTTGAACTCATGGCACTCCACCTGCCTCAGGGTCAGGTCAAGGAGAGCGTCTATTCAAGCACATGCAATTACACACATCAGGCCAGCTCTGTCTCTGTGCCTGTGACATGGACTCATGGCAGTTAAGGCAAACTGTGTTTCATTTCCTCACAAAAGATAGTTCTTACATTTGGTGCCCATTTTCAGCGACCCTGAGCGTCCAGCCATCCTCCAAGCCACCTGAGGTAATCCTTCAGGTGCCTGGAGACGGGTGTAGGGAGCCGCTTCCCTTTTTGTTCTCCGGTAGACTTAAATGCTCTCTCCCCATCCATGGAAGCCCCCTGAAGCATGTCTCTGTGTGCTCCCAGGAACTCATGTAGAGGAGGTCATAAAGATGGATGCTAGGTCCAGAAAGCAAGGGGGACTTGCACCTTCTGAATCCCTTCTAGACTATTCCAGCTCATCCTGGATGCACACAAGAACACAGTGGGACCGCTTGACTTACAAATGTGGAGTTGGGGTTGCGGGTGTGTGTGTGTGGTGGACATAGGAGGATGGGAGGGAGAGGGAATTGATCTGTATGTAAAATAAGGAAAAATATTTTTAAAAAGATTGTGGTGTCCCCACTTGCTAAGGAATGTTCCTTCCCTTCCTTCTGGAATCCTGAGGTGAATGTTTGTGTTTGGGGGATCGTCTCACAGTGGGGCCTTCGTTGTGGTGATGATGCACTGAGTTGGAGTTGTATGGGTTGGCAGGAGCTTTGGGGGGCCTGGTGGTGTTAGAGAATGCTGTACTATGGGAAGGGGCATGACTCAAGTAAGAACCAGAGAGGAACTGGTGAAGGCCTTGACAGTCCTTCGGGTCCAGCTCTCAGGCCACTTCTGGGTCACCTCTGTAATAGCAGTGTTGGCCCTGCACCTGAGGTACCGTGGAGGGAATGCAGATCCAGCAGGAGGGGGCTCAGCAGCGGGGGTTGTTGTGGGGAGCAGGCCAACTAAGGACCTGTAGCGCCACCTGCAGGTTGCCCCTCCTTTCTGGACCTTCACAGCTACCTTCATTTCCTCCTCTCTTGCAGTGTTGGGCACTGAGGAGGGGTAGGAAACAATTCAAACAGTGAACTCACTGGCCCTTAGAAATCTGGTCTAGCTGGTCATACAGCCAGCCCTTGGCAGAGGTAGCCAGGGGATTTGAGACCTGAGTGTCAGGCTGAGGAACTCGGTTCTTACTTGAAGACCTTTCCGTCCAGGTCAGTGCCACTGCCTGCCCTGGGTACTGACAACCAAGCTAGTAAGGACACGTTCTCTAATTCCTGTCTTTGTTGTTCAAGCCTCAGCCAGGCTGGCCGGGGAATGAAACCGTGTGATCCGTGCTCAGGTTGTCCTCCGGGGGGTGCCATGCCTCTGGCTAGAGGGTTGTGTCGGTACTCTGTACTCAGGTGTTTCCCTAGTGTTGCTTGAGGTTGGATAGATTATTAGCAGCTTTCTCAATGCAGCTGAGCTGTATAAATGTTACTGCCAGCTGGAACCGGCATTTTCTACATACAATCAATTCTTCGGGGGAAGTGAGCCTGCCATGTGTTTCCTGTTACCCTGCCCAGCACCCTGGCAGCTGGATATACTGTTGTGGTTGACTGATAAAAACATGTTTAACATCCTGCTCACCTGAGTGGTGGGTGGTGCTTGCTGTTCCCCACATGTCTGTCCTGACGAGGATGTGGTGGTGTCTTCCAGATCGAAGCAAGGCTGAGATGGACTTGAAGGAGCTGAGCGAGTCGGTCCAGCAGCAGTCAGCCCCTGTCCCTCTCATCTCTCCCAAGCGGCAGATTCGAAGCCGGTTCCAGCTCAACCTGGACAAGACCATAGAGAGCTGCAAAGCACAACTAGGTGTGTCCCCTGCCTGCCTGCTCTGTGGGTACCATTCTTGGAGATGCACCTGGATGGAAGAAGGCGTGGCTCAGCATGATCTCACCAGCTGCCTTGACCTCCCTCTATTTGCCTAGTTAGAACGCACTGCATTTCTACTCCGGAGAGACTTAAGATTTGCTAGTTGGTTTTCCAGAAGGGCCTTTTGAATTCAGAGGAGGGTATTCTTCGGCTCAGGTAGCCTGAGAACTTCAGGTGCGAATGTGAAACCACCTGTGTTCCAAGTTTGCCTGGCTTCTCGCCAAACTCAATGATGGCATAGCTTTGTTCTTGAATGGCTCTTATAAAGCCCAACCCTCCCCTCTAGGTGTTCCCCTCTCCACCCCTACACGCACACACACACACCCCACCCCACCTCACCTTCTGGAAGTCTTTATCTGTTGGCTGGCCTCCTTTCTTGCCCCAAAGAAAGAGGGGACCTTGGGTTTTTCCCCTCCATGGATTTTTTTTTGGGGGGGGGGCTTTTTTGAGACAGGGTTTCACTGTGGCTGTCCTGGAACTCATTCTGTAGACTAGGCTGGTCTCAAACTCAGAGATCCACCTGCGTCTGCCTTTTGAGTGTGGGGATTAAAAGCCCACCCTCTTGCTCAGAAGCTGTTTTTTTGTGCATACAGCATATGGTCTGGAATAGTGACTGAGGGTAGTAAATGAATATGGGGGGCTGATAAAGAAGTGATGGGTAGTAGGACCCCAGGAGCAAGGGTCATCCTGAAGTGAGGTCTTTGCTAGTGGGTGCCCTGGATCCTTAATTGAGAAGGAATTGTAAGTAGGGCTTGTCTGGGGATGACTAGGGATATATCACTAAGTTTTAGGATCAAAGCTCTGGTCTGTCAGTCTTGGCCACTGTCTTCCACAGGCCAGTTAAAGAAGTGGGTAATAGAGAAAAGCAGAGAAGGGAAGATTTGTTCACTGTGGCTGCATTGGGAAGAGGGACAAATAAGAAAGGGGGCCCTAATAGGTGGTTTATGTTTAAGTAGAGGGCCAGAGGTGTGCATGCCATACCTATGCATCCTGGTCAAGATATGGTCTTCCCATCAGTGACCCCATCATTGTCTCAGCTCTTTTGAGATGGCGCTGACATGTTCTTAGAATGATGTGACCTTCCCTTCATGAAGTTGCTAGGGAAATGAAAATTTCTCAGGGATCCATTAATAGTGAGATGGCACAAGGGTTCCTTTCTAGATGTCTCCTGCCAGCACCATGGTTCTCCTTGTTTAGGTCCCTGTCCCATTAGGACTCTTGAGAGGCAGGGACTGGAGGTCAGACATTCTGGTGTCTCACTTACAGCCTTCCATAAAGCTCTAGTAAGAATTTTCCTATTTCATCTACCACCCCCCTCCCGGACCCACCGCACCCTGCTGAGCCCCGTGCCTGGATTATTCTGGGAGTTATATAATCATCCCCAGCCCCAATTTAACAGATGAAAACTCTGAGGCTTAAGAGTGGGTCATTTTCCCAAGGTGCCCTGTGCCTGATGCTTGCCTACCAGTAGCACAAGCTTCTGACTGCACCATCATTTCCGACCTCACGTTTGTGTGGTTGTTGGACCCTGGGGGAGTCCGATACCATTACCCCAGGAACTCCGCTGACCGATGTCTACACTCTGCATGGCTCTTGACCTTCCTGAGTTCTTCCTTGATGTGTCCAGGTCATGGCAGGGTCCCGGCTGTTGCACCAGGATGAAACAATGTTTCATTCTTTTGGGTTTATTTGTTCTTATTTGCCTGCTGCCTGAGCTGGAAGCCTGTGTGTGTGACACCTGCTATTCCATCTCCTTTGATGGACAGAGACAGGTGTGCTTTCCTCTTGTCCCTTTGGCAGTGGAAGGACAAGGCGTTCCCATGAGCCTTTGAGGTGCAGCGCAGGAGCCAGCTGGAAGGCTGGGCTCCAGGTCATCTGGACGCCTGCACCTCCCTAAGGGATGCAGCAGATTCTCCCCTTGCCTGTCTGTTGCTTGCTGCTCGCAGACCAGCATCCCACAGAGGCTGGATTCTATGCTCTGTGCGTAGAAGCCACCGCCTTGAGGCCTATATGGAAATTCTTAAGTCGTGACTTGGGCAGAGAATTCTAATTTAAAAAAAAAAAAAAAAAAAGGCAGAAAGACAATGCATACAGGCAAGGCAGATGGGAAGTGTGAGGGCAGATGTACACGGACTGAACAGCGGCCGCCGTGCTAAGTAAGGCTCTGGCCTTGTGGAGCCCTAGACCTAGGCAGAAGGTGCCTGTTCACACTTGGGAGGGGTGCTGGGTCGGGAGCCCGAGCTTCTTGTTTCGTTCCCAGTCACTTTTCTTTGTGCTTAGCCACTCTGCTTCTCTGTGCCCTTATTTTAATGTCCCCCATCTCTGTATCAGTCAGTGCTGCAGACTTAGCATAAACCCGGCAGTCCCTAGGTCCCCTGCTTTCTTTGGATCTCCATCTCCCCCATGTTCTCCTCTTGATGTCCCCACTGAGATGGCGGTGCCACCTGAAGGCGGCGAGCGCTTCCCTCCCGCCTTTCTTTTGTAGCTAAAGCTGTGCTGGTTTCTCTCTGTCCTTAGGCATAAATGAGATCTCGGAAGATGTTTACACAGCCGTGGAGCACAGTGACTCGGAGGATTCCGAAAAGTCGGAGAGCAGCGACAGTGAGTATGTCAGCGACGAGGAGCAGAAGCCCAAGAATGAGCCAGAGGAACCTGAAGACAGAGAGGGGAGCCGGGTGGACAAAGAGGCCCCCGCCATTAAAAAAAAGCCCAAACCCGCAAACCCGGTGGAGGTCAAAGAGGAAGTGAAAAGCAACTCGCCAGCCACTGAGAAGGCAGACCCTGCACCCTCCAAGGACAAGGCAAGCCCTGAGCCCGAGAAGGACTCAGTAGAGCAGGCAAAGCCATCACCTCACCCCACAAAGGACAAACTGAAGGGAAAAGATGACACAGATTCCCCCACGGTGCATTTGGGCTTGGACTCCGATTCAGAGAGTGAACTTGTCATAGACTTAGGAGAAGACCCTTCTGGGCGGGAGGGTCGCAAAAACAAGAAGGAGCCCAAAGTGCCATCACCTAAGCGCGACGGTAAGCCACATCCACAGCCTGTAGATTGTGAAGTGTGAATTTTGTTTGGTGTTGATGTGCGAGGATCAAACTCAGGGCCTCGTGCATGGTAGGCAAGCGCTCTGCCACTGAGCCATTGCATCTTGAATTTGTGTGATTGCCAAGCCCAGCATGACAGGGAGTGTCTTGGTCCCCAGCTGCTTCAGCCAGAGCCATGACCTGCGCATGGGCCTGCTTGATCCTCATCACTAAGAAAGATACGTCACTGGTAGCTGCTGCTTATGAAGTTCATTTTTAGCCTTGGGTCTGCCTACTTAAGGTTTTATATAGTTCACTTTGGCCTGGGAGTATACAGCCAACGGTTACCTTCAGCTTTGGATTCTCCTGCGTCCACCTCCCATGTGACAGACTACTACCCACGATTTAACGGTGCTGGTGCTTGAACCCATGGCCTCGTAGCCAGGCTAGCTCTCTACCAATACATGCCATCCATCTCCAGCAAACTGCCTTTAACATTCAGACATTTGGGTGAGGCTCAGGAATCAAGGGCTCTCTCAGTAGAAAGATCTAGATTCGGCTTCCCCTTCTCTTGTGCCCTTCATGGGCAGATAGCTTTTCTTACTAGGAGCGGAATCCATTAGGGGTTTCGGACCATTGAAAGTGGAAGAGTCAGCACTCTCTGGAAATGACAACCTGTCCTATGTGCATTGAAACTACCTGAACCCTGGGATTCTCACTAATTCTTTGTCCCTTGCAGTGAAGTGGTGTAAGTGCAATTCTCGTCTTTAGCCACTAGATGACAGGATCACTTGCCCATCAAACATGTCTTTACCTAGTGGGCGAAACCTTCAGCGCCCAGAGGATCACCACCTGAGCCTTTTTAGGCTTGTTGCTATTGTGATTAGAAGCGTGGGCAAGCAACGCCTGCAGTGGGCATGCTGGTAACCTCTCTAGAAGGGGTTGAGTAGCAGCAAGTTTTTGGTGGGCCAGAGGACTCAAACAACATCATTCAGCTAGGGCCCAGGGATAGCATGACTTAAGTAGACGCTACAGGTTAGCCATCAAGCTGGGTGTACTTGGTGAGCTACAGCAAGGTGTCATTTTGGATTGTGCTTAGTTTCTGACAGGAGCCAATTTCTCATCGTAACCCAGGAGTAAGGTATGAATCTGTGTCCTCCACATTCTTATAGCCTGGTGGCCTAACACAAGTCCTTTCTGTGTCCAGAGCACTTTTCCCTATGAGGTGCCCACATGGGCAGTCTGGAATCTCAGCTCTTAATCAAGATAGATTTCTGTGACCAAGAAAGAGGGAATGAGATACCTGTGATGGGGGGGGGGGGTGAGGTGGAGAAGGTAGGGCATGCTCAAACTGTTGATTAGGCTGGAAGACATCAGAAGTCTATGTGGGGTGGGGTGGAGGTGGAGAGCGTGCACACCTGTGCACACCTGTTACTTACTACTCAGGCGTAACTTTCTCCATGTGGGGATTGTGGTCCCATTCTTTCTAAGAAAGGCTTTGTGTGTGTGTGTGTGTGTGTGTGTGTGTGTGTGTGTGTGTGTGTGAACACTTAGAAACTCCTTTCTAAAAGAGGCTGTCTGTGTGTATACTTAGAATCTCCCGTCCTTTGTAAAAGAGGCTTTGTGCGTGTGCATGTGTGTATGTACTTTGAATCTCCCATTGTTTCTGAGAGGCTTTTTGTGTATGTGTGGGTCAAGGACAACTCATGTCATTCGTGGTGACAAGTTTCTTTACCCACTGAGTCATCTTGCCAGCCCCCAAACACACCTTTTGATTGACTTGCTGTCTGCTCTGGTTTTGGGGAAATTTCTTATATACAAATAAGTACTAAGGTATGCAAGGTGACACAAACTTAATCCCAGCACTTGGAGGTAGAGAGAGGAGAATAAAGAGTTCAAGGCCAGCCTTGGCTACATCAGACCCTGTCTCAAACAAAACAGACCAAAAAAAAAAAAAAAAAAAAAAAAAAAAACACCTAAACCATACTGTTCTAACTTGCCCCAGCTTCAGGGTAATCATGAACAAGAGTTTGCATTGCCACTGTGAGCTTCCTAGCAGGGAAAGCAAAAAGGGAGGCATAGTTCCTTAACAGAGTTCATACTTTTAAAGAATCAAAACCATTCTAAGAGCAGAGCTCTTCCCGCCTTTGATGAAACACTCCTGCAGACCCTGAAAACCTGAGTGAATGGTAGAAAACTGAGTTAGAGATGGTTCTAGAACACAACACAATCAGAGTAACTTTCCAAGGCTTTTGAGGCAAAACTTGTATAAGCGAGAGTCCCCTTGATGCCCCTCAATGGGTGGATGGTGGATCCTCTTTCTCCCGGCGCTGCTAGTGTGTTTTACAACCATGTTCCCTCTGGTCCGAGGTGGAGTACAGCCATTCTCTGGCCCAAGGTCCAGTGCACAGTGCAGATGCAGACAGAGCTTTCACACCAGTGGGGAACCTCCCCAACTACCCATCACTGTGAGCATTATCACCCTGACAGGGCTATTAGTCAGTCCTTATAAATGCAAAGCTCTGTCTTTTGGTTTATTAACTTCATGGGCTAGTAGGCAATCTGCATTTCATTCATATAGGACAAATGCATTCTAACCACCACACCCCAAACACCAGAATTCTCCCCATTGAAGAAATTTCTGGAATTTGTCCCATTGAAGAAATGTCCGGTCTCTTGATAGCCCCAGGCCATAGCCTGAGGAAACACTACATAGCGCTTGTTTTTCTTTGTTCTACTTTTCCTTTGCGGAAAGGTCACACCTCAAAAAGCCAGTCGGGAGAGAGGAACTGACCTTTTGAGCCCCTAAAAGTGAACCAGGCTAGCTAGTCAGCAGTGATAATGACGCTTATGTCACTGGCAGAGACACAAGCCACCACAGCTGTTTTTTGGGTTAGAACCCTTGCTGGGTACCACACCTACAGAATGGCCAAGTTTAGAGTTGCTTCTGGACCTAGGGCAGACAGGGTCTGTCTGGTGTCATGTCAGGCCATCCAAGAGGACCAGCCAGCCCTGCCTCCCCGCCTCCTCACTCAGTTGACTGAACACTGGTCTCCAGAGGAGTGTGATCACCAGACAGGAAATTGTTCCCTTCTCCTCCGTGGCATCCTGTAACCCAAAGCTTGCCCCAAATCCTGTCCGAAATGACCTATGTGTTTTTCTGGATGGTCTGAATACAAAGGACAAGCTCCATCCTCATGAAGTGCCCAGGAGTGTGGGCCACCAAGGCGAAGCCCTTGGTGCAAGCTGGCACCTCTGTAGCTGCCGTCCGCCCTTCATAAGTGAGCTCAGTGCCATGGCTCATTTTTTCCAGGAGCTTCACCACTGACTTCCCATTGTGCTGCCCTCCCATCCTGTTCCCCCCCCTCGGCCACCCCCAGATGTCTTTAAGCACAGGTGGTTGGTGCCCCACCACAAGCTCCTTCCCATGCCCTTGACTACTGCTTTTAAAACAATGCTTTAAAACAACATCCAATTGTTTAAGACTTAAATTGCGTATTTCGCAATAGGACATCCAGGGTTGTGAGCTATCCAGGAAGGGCCGTGGCAGGAACATCTAGAATGCAAGGTGAAGCTGGGCTATGTGAAGGTCAGGATGTCCAGGCTGATGGTTTGGGGTTAGGTTGTCGGGCCTGGGGCTGAATTCCTTTGTTAAATGTCTAGGAGGCCCCTCCCAGACGCTTTGTGTAGGAAGAAAGATTAGGTGTTGTACACCTTTGACAGAATCAGCCATCTAGGCTTGGAGCCCACACCCTGTTGGCTTTCTAGCCCAGGGTTTCTCCCCTCTCTGGAGGGCTGCTCCTGGGGTGTCCTCATCATTCCCAGCTGTGCCATCGCTTATGGCTGCTCTGCAGGGGGCTGGGTCTTGCCAACCCCCCCCCCCCCACACACACACACACACTTGTCACATCTTGATTTGGGATGTGAAGTTGCTCTCAGTAAGGTGTAACTCATAGCTGCCACAGAGGCTGTGCTTGTCCTTGGACCTGCAGGGGCTTTCTGAATCCCTTCAGCAGGCTGCCTCTACTGGGTTTGACCCAGAACTGGCCAGTGGTGTGACCTAAGTCCCTGCTCATGACTTCAATCCAGTTTCTGCTTGTTTCCATGCCTGCCTGGCTGTAGCTATAGGTAAACCGCCACCGTCCACTGCAGCGGGCAACCAGTCTCCCCCAGAGACGCCGGTGCTCACCCGCTCAGCCACCCAAGCACCCTCGGCTGGGGTCACCGTGGCTGCCACCACCAGCACAATGTCTACTGTCACAGTCACAGCACCGGCCACCGCCGTCACCGGAAGCCCAGCGAAGAAGCAGAGGCCGCTCTTACCGAAGGAGACTGCCCCGGCCGTGCAGCGGGTCGTGTGGAACTCATCAAGTAAGTTTCAAACGTCCTCCCAAAAGTGGCATATGCAGAAGATACAGCGGCAACAGCAGCAGCAGCAGCAGCAACAGCAGCAGCAGCAGCCTCACTCTTCCCAGGGGACAAGATATCAGACCAGACAGGCCGTGAAAGGTACCTCGCCCCTTCTGTTCTCTGTGGCACCTGCCCCCCCTGTTTTTTCTTGCCACATTAACAGGAGACAAAGCCACCGCTATTTAATTTTTCCCCCCATTCCTGTGTGTGTCATGGTCATTGCAGGCCTTACCCACCCCATATGGTGTCGTTATTATTATTTTTTTAATTGGCTTGCTGTTTACCATTTGCTTGAATTTTTCTTTTATTTAAGATGTTTAGTTTTTCATTTTATAAATGATACACAAGTCCCCTCCTTACAAAGGAGACAGAATCCATTCGTAGAACTTTGAATGTTAAGTGTGGGCCCATTCACTGTCCATGTCATTGTTCACCTTTCTGTGACAATCTTGAGTAATTGTTGTGAAAAGCCTTCTCCAGTGCATGTATATACATATGTTTTTATACCATGAAAATTTACCCCCCCTTTTTTTTTAAAGCAAAAATGGTACCATTCTTGACTTTTTTTTTCCTCTCATCCATCAGCATGTTTTAGAGGTCTGTCTGTGTCTTATTCTCTTGGACTGCTGCGTAGTATTCCCTAATTTATTCAAAACAGTCCCCTGCTAGAGATTTAATTTAGGATGCTTTCAGGTTTCTCCCCACCATAAGCTACGCTGCAATCATTATATCTTTGTGTAATATGTCTGGTGACCCTGTTGGCACTTTTGGGAAGGTTTATAGAGTATGAGAAGTTGGCAGGTAGAAAGGTTTCCTTTTAAAACTCTGTCCCATGTAGAAGATGAGCCAGCCTTATTGCAACTCTGCAATCCAGTTACACGATCAACTCTGCTCTCAATGCTGGAAGCCTGTCCCTGTCATATTGCTGATGGGCTCAGCCCAAATGTGGGTCTGGACAGCATCAGTCTGGGCCTGGTTCCTTACAGGAAAATAGCTTCCTCCACACCCACCCTTTCCCCCGGTGTTCCCTCTATTAAAGCTCGCCCCAGTGTGGAAACTTGACAGTGCTGGTGTGAGGCTTGTCCCAGGGATACCTACAGGGATTGAAGATGGAGTGGGTGGAGAAGGCAGGCCAAGCTCAAGATAAGCTGGGTTGATGCTGGGCACACAAGCTAGTTGAGCTGAGCTGAGATTAGGATCACACTCCTTGCTGGACTCGGTCTCTGCGGATGTGGGTGCAGCACTCAGACCTGGTGGCAGCAGAGGGCTCAGCTTTCAGATAGGCAGTCCTGTGTCGGTAGGATAGGAAAGGTTTAGTTCAATTGGTAAGGACTGGTTATAATCAGTAAGCACAGCTGCTGCAACCGTAGATTGTATGGGAGTCTGCTGGGCCCAGCTTTGATCGGTGAAGCGCCCCTCCCCCCAATACTGTTTTGCCACCAATTAAAGAGGTAGGTGTTGATTTTAATGACTTCTGTGCTGTTGGACTTTTGAAGTTGTTGGGTCATGAGAATAGTCCAGTCTTAGAATGCTTGCCCAGCGTGCACAAGGCCCTGGGTTCAGTTCTCAATGCTACAGAATTCCAAAAATGTCAAGGTCTGAGATTTTATCGAGCGATGGACTATTATTCCCTTCAGTGAATGTGTTAGGAAGTGCTTTTAATTAGCAGAACCCTGGTACTGCCCTGCCTGAGGAAGGGGTCCAATGTGACTTGCACAGGGGTGGCTGATGTTTTTAAAAGTAGAAGGAGGCAGCTGAGAGAAAGGAAAATTAAATATTGGAAGAGAGCAGAAGGGTCTGTGTGTGATGCTGGCTGGTTTTGGCTCTTCTCATAGAGATGGAGACGGCCCTGTGCCACATCTTCAGATGTTGGCTTGTCCACCTCTAGTTTTTTGGTAACCTGGCTATTCGAGGCTAGATTAACTCACCTAAACTGTACCACCCTGACCTCTTAGAGATGTTTGCATCTGCTAAAGTCTTTGTAGTCCAAGGTTAGGGCCTAGTTAAGAATTCACAGGAGCCTAGCTCTGGCTTGGTCAAGGTGAGACACTGGCATTCATAGCTCAAAAGCTGCCTTTGGTTACATGAAGAGTTCCCTTTCTTAGCCCAGCTGTGTGCTGGGTCACACTTCCTCACATGGGTAGGGTGACCGGACCCTTTGCTTTCTTAGCTGTCCAGCAGAAGGAGGTCACACAGAGTCCATCCACTTCCACCATCACGCTGGTGACCAGTACTCAGCCGGCAGCCCTGGTCAGCAGTTCCGGCTCTGCAAGCACCTTGGCATCCGCTATCAATGCCGACCTGCCCATCGCCACTGCCTCAGCTGATGTGGCCGCCGACATTGCCAAGTACACCAGCAAAGTGAGTGGGGGGTACTGTGGCTGTGGTGGGATTCTTGGGGCCATGACTTGGTGGTTTGTAAAAAAGGCTAAGTTGCTGGCATTACAACAGGATCTCTAAGGGCAATCTTACACTTGGGGTCACACAGGTGGTCAAAACTGGGGTTTGGAATATGCCATGGAAACAATCCACCCTCGTTGTATTCCCAGCATTATTTTATTTTGAGACGGGGTCTTCCTCTGTAGGCTAGGCTGGCCTCCAGGGACTCCTAAGCATCTGGGGTTGCAGGCATGCCACCGTGTTCCCATCCACCTTAGGTGTGTTCTTGATTTATTGGGAAGATGTGAACAAATGTCTGTTGACACCACAAAAGGCACCAACGACAGACAAGAGAAGTCCTCACTTGGTGGACCTTTGAGTTTGTAAGGGTTGGGTGTAGGAGTCGGAGTGATTCAGGCAGCTAACTGCATTATTCAAAAATTGGCAGGGATGAAGAAATTGCCTCCCTGGACCTTGTTTTGTTTTTTGTTTGTTTGTTTTTCTTTTAAGACAGAGTTTCTCTGTAACAGCTCTGGTTGTCCTGGAACTCGCTCTATAGACCAGGCTGGCCTCTTACTTACAGAGATCCGCCTGCCTCTGCTTCCCGAGTGCTGGGATTAAAGGCGTGTGCCACCACCACCCTGCTGCCTCCCTGGACCTTGATGCTTACCTGGCAGGGGGTGAAGCTGTGGGAGTTACCATTACTATTTCCTATGACCTCAGTGCCTCTGAATTCTGTAACTTTAGGAAGCTCCTTGTGTGGTTGCTCCTCTCCTCCCTGAAGAGGGAAAGTTTCAGTAATCCAGAAACACTTCCTGGCCAGGGTTAGAGGGCTGGCTTTTAAAGTCCCTATGATGTGGGCCCAGTGTATCACCAGATCTCCAGCTGCTCGTTCAGGAAGTGCTGGAGCGAGTCACTGTCCTGTGTACAGCTGACTGAGGGGAGGAAAGCTAAGTCAGTGACAGACTTCATTGTGACACCAGCAAGGTGAGATGCCAGGAACCAAGAGGGACTGGGGCTTGTGAGGCCTCCCCTTAAGTCACCCACTAGAGGACCCAGTCCCTGCTGGTGGCCTGGCACCATGTGTGAACTTGGCAGTCTCTTTTTCTCTTAATTGGCCAATGCTTGTATGGTTGAAGGAACAAAACCCACACATCTCCTTGGCATCATGGAGCCTTCTGCAGTGGCCTGCAGGTGTCGGCAGATAAGTGATAATGGCCCCAGGGCTCCAGCTACACTGGTGATTGGCTGGCGGCTCACCCCAAGGACAGTAATGATCCCTGGCTGGTGGATGTTTGGTCCATCACTGCCAACCTAGTGCATGCTAGGCAGCTGCCTGCTTATTGGGCTTATCACTGCCACTGATTTGGTCACTAATGGTAAATGCTTTCCTGTTTAGTAAATTACTGTGTGAGTGAGAACAATTTGTTTTCTTACTAATGAGGAAATCATTCTTTAGTAATTAGTGAGAGAGCTGTTCAAGTTACAAAGCAGGCAGCTGAAAAGAATGGAGGACAGTTTTTCTTTCTTTCCTTCCTTTCATTCTTTCTTTCTTGGCTTGCCTGCCTGCCTGCCTGCCTGCCTGCCTGCCTGCCTGCCTGCCTGCACAGGGTTTTTTGCTGTATAGCCCAGCCTGGTCTCAGATTCTTAGTAAACCTCCAGTCCTGGCCTCCTGAGTACTAGATTTATAGGTGTGAACCACTCTGCCCAGCTTGGAATTTTTTCTTTATTTTTAAAATAAATTATTTTGATGTGTATGGGTGTTTCGCATATGTGCAGGGTTAGGGTTAGGTAGGGTGAGGGTTCAGCACACCACTTGTGAAATCCTTTTCCTCAGAGATCAGAAGGAAACAGACCTTTTGGAATGTGCTTTAACAGTGGTTGTGAGCCGCCATGTGGGAGCTGGGAAGCAAATCCAGGTCCTTCCCCTGGAAGAGCAGCCAGTGCTCTAACCACTGTCCAGTCTCTCCAGCCCCCTACGTGAAAGCCATAGATAAGTCTTGTGTTAAACATTACTGCATAGGGTTGACAGTAGACGTGTACAATTCTGGGTGGTTTATAGTCCCGATAGCTGCTCCTTGCTCCTTGTCCCTCGGAATCCTTTTTACCTGTTACCTGTTACCCTGTTACCCAGTGGTTGTGGCAGAGTCCCACGGACCCTAAAGAAACCATACAGCACATACATACACAGCCCTGTCCACCCTTCCTTCGGTGAAGAAGGTATTGTCGGAGTTGGGAAGCTCTCGGGACAAAGAACTCGCCTGTAAGGTCTGGCCTGTGGCCCTGCCTGTGATTCCGCCTCTCTAGTCCAGAGCTGGAATACTCAGAGCAAGATGGCTAACTAGATTACCGGTGAGAGGTGAGGTCAGTTGTGAGAGCCTGGCCGCAGTGGAGAAGGTGGAGAGAAATTGAAGTAACACCTGGCATCTGCTGGCATCTGCGTGGGCACGCACACTCCAGCACACACACTCACGTGCACACTGCACACATCCATGTGGGGGAGGCGCAGTGTTGTGACTCTACAGGTAAAGATGAGAGGTGGGAAAGGAGGTTGTAGTGGTGGTGGACAGATTTAAGGGGGGGACTCACAATCGCCCCCCCTCCATTGTTACCTTCATTGATTGGGCCAAGCTGTTCAGTTACCAAAGGGGAGACTGCTTACAGATGGGCAGACTGAGGCCTGCAGAATGATCTGCCACAGCTCCTGCAACCATTTGGATTCTGACAATCGAAATGAAGAGTGGCCTGTTTAGGGAGATACTTTCTTTGCAGTTCTCAAACTGAACATGGTGACATTTGCGGGGAGCTAATGAAGCAGCCTGTCCTGATGAGGTCTTTAAAGTCCCAGATCTGGTTAGAGAGGGGCACTCGGTCTTTGCTGTGATTGCAAGTGAGTCAGTCATGAATTCTCAGGGTCTTTAAAGCTAGAGACATTATGTTAGTGATGAATTGGCTTGGCTATTCAAAACACCCCCCCACCTTGCCTGTCCTGGAACTCGCTCTGTAGACCAGGCTGGCCTCAAACTCACAGAGATCCACCTGCCTCTCCCTCCCAAGTGCTGGGAACACCGGGAACACAGGCGAGCGCCACCACATCCCGCTCAGTTCTCTCTTAAAGCAAAAAATTTTTTAAAAAATATTAATGTGGTGGGTGAGGTATAAAGATGGAGTCAGGAGGAGGCCGGCCTCCACGGAAGCCCAGGGCATGTGCTGGCAGCATCGGCCGCAGTGTAACTCCCTGCAAATAGTTACTCATTTGACACCCATTTTGGGTTACTGCTTTTGTTCTTGGAGGTAGTTAAGTAATTTCATGTTCATTAGCATGGTTTTGTGTGTGTGTGTGTGTGTGTGTGAACAGAACAGGTATTTCTGTTTTCTTTCTTTGGTTTTTGAGATAGGGTTTCTCTGTAGCCCTGGCTGTCCTGGAACTTGATCTGTGGACCAGGCTGCCCTCAAACTCAAGAGATCCGCCTGTCTCTGCCCCCGAGTGCTGGGATTAAAGGCTTGGAAGTGTGGGCTTCCTGCTTTCTCACTCCATTGAGGTGTGCCCCCCACGTGTGGTTGCCGTTGTCTGTTTTTATCCGGGAGGAGGAGGCTCTGAAAGAGAATATGAATGAGTACCAAAGGCACAGGCACACTTTGTCTTCCCTTCCCACTAGAAACACAGGAGCAATAATAGCTAAGGACTTTAAGGATTAAAACCCCCCCCCCTTTTTTTTTTTTGCTGCAGTGGCTAGGGAAGGGCCAGTAGGGGGCAGAAGGAACATTACAAATATGTTTCTGAGTTTGGCTGCTTCATGGAACCTAAAAGGCATTATAGTGACAAGCCAGCCATGTCCACTTGATGGACCAGGAAAAGGCTAGGTGCATTGTATGGTACATGCTGTAGATTTGAGGCGTCCTAGACCATAGTCCTAAGGCCTCGTTGTGGGGGGTGATTGACATTTCTGTGATGGGTCCAAAGCATACAAATACATAGAAACAGAAAGTAGAGTAGTGTTCCCAGGAACCTGGGTGAAGATGGGGATGTTGGGAGTTGGGCTGGCCAGTTACAAGTCAACTTGACACAAGCTGTAGTCGTCCAAGAAGAGTGAACCTCAGTTGAGAAAATGTCTCTATAACATTGGGCTGTACGCAGAGCCTTAGAGTATTTTCTTACTGATTGATGGCCCACATCAATATGTGGGTAGTATCACCCCTGGGCTGGTGGTTCTGGGTTCCGTAAGAAAGCAGGCTGAGTAAGCCAATAAACAGCGCTCCTCCATGGCCTTTGCATTAGCTCTCCAGATTCCTGCCCTGCTTGTGTTCCTGTCCTGACTTCCTTTGATGATGGACTGTGCTGTGGAAATGTAATGGAATAAAACCTTTCCTCCCCGAGTTACTTTGGTCGTGGTGTTTCGCCACTGCAATGGACACCCTTAGACACAGTGAAGACTGGGGGGAGAGTAGGGTTGTCTTCTTGGATGTGTGTGTGGTGAACATGTTCTAGAATTGCTTGTGCTGTTGGATGTATAGCTCCAGACATGCAAAGCCATTAAATGTGTGTGTGTGTGTGTGTGTGTGTGTGTGTGTGTGTGTGTGAGTTGGCCCACAGCCACTGAAGCGTAGAACCTCAGAGCCAGCAGATTGTGCATTGTAGCTGGTGAAACGGATAATGCATTACTTATATCTCATTAAAATGCACTTTTGGGTCAGCAGGATGGCTCTGTGTATGATGGTTGTGCAAGTCTGGTAACCTGACATTGATCTTTCATGTAAATGTGAAAGGTCAGAATTGACTCCACAAAGTTGTTTGCTTGTACACCACACACACACCTTCAAAAGAGTTATATCAGTGGGCTGGAGTTGTGGCATAGTTGGTAGAGTGCCTGTCTAGAATGCATGAACATCTAGACTCACCCTTACCACTGAATTTAAAAACTGGTTGTAGTCGGGGGCTTCAGAACCTGAGTCATCAGCTACATAGTGAGGTAGACCAGATGGATGCCTGACCTTTAAAAAAAAATTAATAATTTTAAATAAAGATAAAAAGAACTTAAAGCAACAAAACCTTAAACATTTTGTGTGGGCTGAACAAGACACATCTGGGGGGGGTGGTGTTTGGGCTCTAAAAGGGATTCTAGGTGGCTTTGACATTGTTCTGTGCAGAGTTTCTCAGCTCAGCAAGGGGCTGGCCTGTAAACTGTAGGTCATTTAGTCACCTCCTAGGCTTCCACCCCTGGGATGCTAGAAGCAGCCCTGTCCTGCCCTGCCAGGCATCTTGACAGCCTGGGAGGGACAGTGCGTCCCAGACTTCACTAGTGTCAGGCTTGTGTGTCTTGTCACCTCCAATAGCCACAGAGCGCCACCCTCCCTCGTTCACGTAAGGCTTTTCTGTTTTTATCTTTTCAGATGATGGATGTTATAAAAGGAACAATGACGGAAATCTACAATGACCTCTCCAAAAACACCACAGGAAGCACAGTAGCTGAGGTCAGCAGCAGCTGGGGGTCCCCAGCAGTTCAGGCCTGCGCCAGGGCCATGGGAAGCTGGGCACCAGGGCCATGGGAAGCTGGGCGCCAGGGCCATGGGAAGCTGGGCGCCAGGGCCATGGGAAGCTGGGCAGGGAGCCCGGGCGCCCGGCTTGCTCTTTGGGCTGGGAGCATGTGTGGGTATTAAATTAAGTAGGTGGCTAGGGAGACCAGCTTGCTTCTGCCTACATCCTGTTAGAGCACAGTGAGACTGGACACCAGCTTTGGTTTGTGTGTGATTAGTGTTGTAGCTGACGCCACCCCCACCCCCCAGGATTTCTCTGTGTGATGGCTCTGACTGTCCTCGAACTCGCTCTGTAGACCAGGCTGGCCTCAAACTCACAGAGATCCTCCTGCCTCTGCCTTCTGAGTGGTGGGATTAAAGGTGTGTGCCACCACCCAGCCTGACAAAAGTACTTAGGTAAGAATTTGTATACCAGAGGCACCATAGCTCTATGAGCTAAGACAGTGGTTAAAATTAAAATGCCAGCTAAAAAATAAGAGAGAAAAAAAAAATTAAAATGCTAACTTTTTACTTACGAAGTCACCTCCTATATCATGAAACACACATAAAAGTTAGTCTATCCCTGCCTCTCCCTTGGAGGCCACTCAGAGCGAGCACCTGCTAATACCTGTGTGGACAGCATGGTGCTGGCGGTGGCCTAGTGGCCTGTATTCAGTCATCAGGTGACATACAGAGAATGAATCCCAAGCAGAAACAATGGCCTTCGAATCGGTTTGTTTGTTTTTCAGTGTCAATCAACAAATAGAAATCTCTCTGTCCCCAGTGAGCTTTGGGCAGCGGTGAGGGTGGTGTCTATAGGAGTTCACTATGCATTGCTGGCTGGCCTTGAACTCAAGTGAGTTCAAGTAACCTTGCCTCCCTGGGAGCTGGCATTAAAGGCCTCACCACCACACTTGGCCCTTTTTGTTCATTTTAAGCATTTGTGTGTGGTTGAACTCTGGTCATGTGTCTCCCCCGAAACCTTGGGTCCAGCCTATGCTAGGATGACCACGCCCCTCCAGCCCCCAACCTTGCCATATGACTGCATTGACTGCTCACTCAGTTGCCCAAGCATATGGCACAGGTGGTCCTTGGCTCTGGGGTGTCCTATATATCTTGGAGGCTACAGAGCAGCTGCTGGCTCTCCGTACCCTCCCGAGTCAGCAGTGCTACACAGTTGTGACAACCCAGAATGACACCAGGCATTATCGCTGTCATGGGTGGGCAGGTTGTCCTGCTGGAGAACCACCATAGAAGTCTGGGCTTATTTTCCCTTCCAAATGAGTGACCTCAAATTTATCCTTCCCCCAAGATCCTTTGGTCTTCAGAGATGCAGGATTTGGGATGTCGAGAATGATATGGGACACTGGGACTGGGGGGGGGCAGGGAGAGGGGCACAGAAGTAGGGTTAGAGGAGTCCATTCTCTCTTGTAACTTGTCCATCCCTAGGAGCAAGCTCAGGGCATCAGGCTTGATATCAGGTACCCTTACCAGCTGAGTCACCTCGGTAGCCTTGATTCATATGCTTTAAAGAATCATGCTAATTAAATGTTATTATTTAACTTTTTATTTCCAAAACTTTTAAGACAGGGTTTCTCTGTGTAGCTTTCTCTGGCTCTGTAGACCAGACTGGCCTCTAACTCACAGAGATCTGAGTGTTGGGATTAGAGATGTGTGCCACCACTGCCCCATGCTGATTACATTTCTTTTATAAGATTTATTATATATTTATATATATGCTCTGTCTACATGTATGCCTACATCCCAGAAGAGGGCATCAGATCTCATTATAGATGGTTGTGAGCCTCCATGTATTTGCTGGGAATTGAACTCTGGTTCTCTGGAAGAGCAGGCAGTTAATGCTCTTAATCTCTGAGCCATCGCTCCAGCCCCTGTTAATTAAATATTTAATGTATTATTTGGTTTTCCCTCCTGCTGCATTTGGGGGGGGGTGGCTCACTTGATTTGGCCTTCAGAACCAGGATCCTCAAGTGTGTGTGTGTGAATGCGACCTCTTCCCTCCCACCACACAATCCACCACCTGAGCTGGGGACGGTAGGCTCAGAGGCAGGCTGCCACGCAGAGCTCAGGGACAGACAGGAGGGGGACCAGCTGCATGGGTGGTGTCTCAGGCTCCGGTGTCCTCCCTGCAGATTCGAAGGCTGAGGATCGAGATCGAGAAGCTGCAATGGCTGCACCAGCAGGAGCTTGCTGAGATGAAGCACAATCTGGGTGAGCCCCCTGAGGGTGTGAGGGTCCCCTGAGGGGCTGAGCCCCTGGCTGCTCTGTACCTGGAGTTGGGGAGAGCACAGTCCTCAGGGATCTGGGGCTGCAGACTCCACCTTCCCTCTCACGATAATAACACATTTTGTTTCTCCTGCTGCCTTTACATGGGTTCTGGGGATTGAACTCAGGATATCAGGCTTGGCCACAGTACCTTTACCAGCTGAGCCACCTTCGTGGCCCTTTGTTGGTGTTTTCAAGAAGAGCTTGTGTGGGATCAAAGGGCCATTTACTTTCAATGTAAGGTTTACTTGTAAGTGTATGTACTGCCTGGAGTAGAACTGTCTTGGAATGAGTGGTTCGGTTGTTGCCCCGTTAGCATAGCAGTCAACTATGGTGTTCATTCAGTGTCTCAAGACCCACACTTGCACACAGTAGGTGCCATATACATGTTTGATTGACAGAAAAAATAAGAGAGAACGAGTATCAGTCGAAAATGTTTGAAGGCCTTGTGGAATTCCTACAACTTCAAGTTGCTTGAGATGGTATTGCTGGGAACTCCTGTTACCTACATCCTGGGCACATCGCTGACAGCGTGGCAGGTCATCAGACTTGACTGATGAATGTCCCAGCTGGATTAATGGCCCAGGGTCACCAATCTAGTGGGGGGCCATTTCTAAGGCTTAAGATCAGGTCTGTGTGATCCTAGGTGTCTGATGCTTAGCATCCCGTGCTGGGTCAAATGATGCAGCTGGTCTCCTCCTCCTCCAGAGCTCACCATGGCCGAGATGAGGCAGAGTTTGGAGCAGGAGCGGGATCGGCTCATTGCCGAGGTGAAGAAGCAGCTGGAGCTGGAGAAGCAGCAAGCAGTAGATGAGACCAAGAAGAAGCAGTGGTGTGCCAACTGCAAGAAGGAGGCCATCTTCTACTGCTGCTGGAACACTAGCTATTGCGACTACCCCTGTCAGCAGGCCCACTGGCCTGAGCACATGAAGTCCTGTACCCAGTCAGGTACTGTGGGTGCGCGTGCCTGGGAGGCTGCGGGTGGGCTCTTGCCTGCAAACAGCTGTTGCTCTGATACACAACAGATGCCCTTGTGGGGTTTACACATCACACCTGGCACAGGGCCTGCAACTTCTAACAGTTAGCTTGGCAGAGTTTTTGATCAGGTGGCCTGGCCCCCAAAATCAGTGGTCCTGGCACTGAGAATCTCTGTTCTTAGGGCAAGGAAGACGTGCTTGTTGGCTGGGAACTAACTGATGTGTTGTTAGGGTACCACAGTAGCCATCATCTCTTGTTGTGAGCTGAAGGGCCCGGAGCCCCACCCCCTCCAGTAGGAACCACTAACTGTCCACATTTTTAGTGATTTTAAGTTGTATATATAGAATTTATGATAACATGGCACTGGGGTATTCAAAGCCATGATTGGTAATGTGCACGTGGGAGGTGGGAGGGCTCCATGTGGATTGTTTAACTCTTCCAACTTTCTTTGTGGCATGGTGATATCTGTGTCTTTAATTCCTCCCTGCTTTTCTATTCACCTGGAAGCTCTGGTCCCCCCTCAGAAACGGGTTCACTGGCCTGAGGTAGATCTAAGCCTAAATGAAGATCGGGGGTGGGGTTGTCACAGCCTGGGTCTGCACAAGCTTCCTTTGCTCGGAGACCATGTTCTCCTCAGCAAAATGATTTCAAATGTGAATTGCTCAATATTAAAAGACCTATTTGCAAATAAAGTTTGGAGCTCTGGCTTTTGGAGACCATGGCCCATGCCAGATCTCTAGGTGGGACTGAGGAGGATGGAGCCTGGTGGGGTCAGATAGGGCCTGAGCCACGGGGTCCTCTAATTGTGGCACAGGTTTACAGCTGGACCCCAGATGAAGCCTGAAACCATCACAAGTCTTAAGCATCCTCATGAATTCTCACATTCTCATTGGTCCCCAGCTACTGCCCCTCAGCAGGAAGCAGATGCCGAGGCAAGCACGGACACAGCAAATAAGTCATCCCAGGGCAGCTCCTCCAATGCACAGTCAGCACCTTCAGAAACAGCCAGTGCCTCCAAAGAGAAGGAGACACCAGCGGAGAAGAGCAAGGACAATTCGGTGAGGGTCCCCATTGACTGTCATCCTCTGTATCTGCCACCCCGACTGTCCCTTGCTGTCTGGGGTTATCTGGGCGGGGATTGGCTCTTTCTGGCCACTATGCCCTAGATTCCAGTGATAGGCAAGAGTGTAGAGAGCTATTCTCTAGGGTCCCTCAAAGTTCACAAGGGTGCTTCTGCCAAGACCTTTTGCAGAGGTGAAATCGATGCCCCTTCTAGCCACCTGTCACTATGGAGGACCACAAGTGTGGCTGATGTTGACCAAGGACCTGCTTGTTTTAAAATAAATTATTTGATATTTAAGTGGCCCCTTGTGGTCAGTGTTGTCCCACTGGATCTCAGGGGTCACAGCTGCTTACTTCCCATGGTGTCTGTGGTCACAGTTGAATACATAGGCTGTTTTAAGGGCTTTGGTCATCATTGCTTATACTTTTAACTGTGTATTTCAAGAGACCAAATCATTAGATGGTCAGTAATATCTCTATTGACTTCACAGATAGTGTCGCCCAGTAATATGTTAGCACTTTTGAGCAGTATATACATTCTTTGCACAGAATGGTACTGGATAGGTCTGTCAGTGGAGCTTCGGAAGCATTGGATGTTCTAGGAGTGAGACAGTAGGGATAAGTGGGACACCCCCAAGCTTTGTTCTGCCCTTTTGAATCTGGCAGGCAGAGCCTAAGGTGTGTGGCCACCTTACGCTCTGCCTTGTAAGGTGTCTTGGGTTGGGGTGGGGGGTGGGGAGTAGTGAGCCCTCTCATGACTCCTGGGGTTCTGTGGTCCCATCTTTTTGTTTGTTTGCATTTCTAGACCCTGGACCTTTCTGGCTCCAGAGAGACGCCCTCCTCCGTTCTCTTAGGTTCCAACCAAGGCTCTGGTATGTCGCCCCCTGGTGGGCAGATGGTGTTTTTATCTTTCACTTGGTCAAGTTGGGGGAAGTCAAAAGCTTGGGATCTTTTGGGGTACCTTGGATGGGTTCTGATGGGGTGTGGCTAGGCAAGGTGTTATGTGGGTGCCTCCTTGCATTGGTCATCTCTGTTTATTGTCTTTACTGAGGGCAGAGGATCCCTGAGGTCCTCAGGCCATATTTGATTCATAAAGACCCCTTAAAGCCTTTAGTGAGAAAATGATGATGAGTGGGACCTCCCCCTCCCCAAACCCTGCTAGCCATGTGGTGTCTTCTCTGGTGGAGCTGGAGCCACACTTCCTTCCTGGGATTCTTTCCACATTCTTCTAAACTCGTTCCCAGAGATCAGAACCATGGCTTCCTTCTCAACAACCGTTTTGGCCAATTTGAAGTTCTCTCCTGTCTTGGCTCCAGGATCTTTCTGTCCGTTGGTTTTCTTTGGCTGAAAAGCAAACATTAATGTTTCACTTACACAGTAGACAGAAAGTTTGCTCAAGATGGTTTGAAGGAGTTGACACTAGGGAGGACATAAACACACACATCTGGTTGGTTTTGTTTTTGGTTATTTGAGACAGGGTTTCTCTGTGTAGCCCTGACTGTCCTGGAACTCCATCTGTAGACCAGGCTGGCCTCAAACTCTGAGATCCACCTGCCTCTGTGTTGGGTACTGGGATTAAAGGTGTGTGCTACCATGCTGGGCTTTTTTTTTTTTTTTTTTTTTTTTTTTTTTTTTTTTTTTGGAAATTTGAAAACTTGGTACAATATAATTGAAGACTGCTAGTGGACAAATACCCCCTCCCCCACAATATCTCCTTCAGTCCCTGCATGTTTCTGAGTTCAGGGGCTCTGTCATTCTGCGATGTCATTAACGTCATAGATCATTTTAAATTCTGGTCTTTGATCTCCTGCCTCAGCCTCCTGGGCGCTGGGTCAGTGGGCCTGTGCCACCTTGCCTGGCTTGAGTTCTGCTCTTCACAAAGACAGAGTGGACGGGATTCTAGCAGTTCGCTGCCCTTAGTACGGAACACTTTGTGTTTTTTTAAAATCACGTCTGAACAGGTGCCTTTGTGGATTTTCCACTTTTTAGTGATGGTGTTTAAATAAAAATAAAGTGTTAAATAAAAGCAGTCATGGTGATTGCACACCTTTAATCCCAGCATTCAGGAGTCAGAGGCAAGTGGATCTTCGTGAGTTTAAGGCCAGCCTGGTCTATAGAGTGAAACTCTCAAATATAAAGAAGCATAGAAAACCGTGACTTGAGTAAGATAAAGAGGATTGTCGTTGGGACTCTGGGGTGCTGTAGAGGAGTTAGAGCTGAGAATTGATATCTAGGGATGACCTTGAGGTCTGGTGGGGACCTGCTTGAGGACTCTTCCCAGGAGTGTCCTGTGTCTCTCCTCTTGAGGCCAGGGCAGCCACACTTTTCTGCAGAAGTCTGTGTGTTCCCTAACAGCTGTGCAAGTTACAGACCAAACATAAAGAGAGCGAAATGCATGGCCACGGGCTAGCAGAAATGGCTGTCTGCTCTGGCCCGTGGGTTCCCTTTGCTGACCCCTGACCTGGAGCATCTTGGGTCAGAGGGACTGGAAAGAATAGCTCTGAATGGAGGGTCAGCCTTCAGTTCAATGCGTGCTCAGAATAGAGTTGTGCTCCAAGGGAGCACCACTGCCCCTGACTCTTTGAGGAAGCAGCCCCTGTGATTCTGGGGGACAGATGAGAAGGTTGTCCACAGGAGTTGACTTAGACACTTAGGCTGCTTAGCTAGTGATGTCAGAGCTGGGGCATCTATGCAGATGTTTCTTCTGTAGTATGCCAGGTGCAGTGCATGCCAGAAATTGCTGTCAGTGGAAGCCAGAGATGGTTGCCCAGGCTGTCACATGGGTCTTGGTTTGTCCAATCCCACCACTCCTTCCTGTCCCTCTCCTCCCCTCCAGCTGTGTCTCCCCTCCCCTCCAGCTGTGTCTCCCTGTACCAATAATGTTTCCTGCGGCCCCTGAGCCCCAAATAAACGCAAGGATGCTATTTTTTTAGTTATAAATCTGTTGGCTGATGACTAGGGCTTCTTATTGGCTAGATCTATCCTAATTATTAACACGCTTCTTTTAATCTAAGTATTTCCATGTGGTCTTACCTTACTGGAGAAGGGTCCAGACATGTTACTCCTTTGGTGGTCTACATGGCGACTGCTAAGCATATCAGCAGAAAAGAGAGTAATTTCCTGTTTATCCCTGCTTATATCCTGATTTCTGCCCAGCTATGTCACTTCCTGTCTAGCCAATCAGTGTTTCATCCATTAACCAATAAGAGAAACACGCATGCACGCACGCACACACACACACACACACACACACACACACACACACCCGGGGCACAGTTCTTCACCTGCTGTTTAGTAAGTCCCTAATGTGAGTCTCTGATTCCCTACTCCATATCAGCAGCATCCCAAGTTTTATTCCCTGTCTGTCAGACCAGCTGCCTGGCCCTCCTTGCCTCCTCATCCTTTGGAGCATCGGCCGTGGGCACTGCCCTAGGCCGAGTGCCAGTATTTTCTCTGCCTTTCCTTGCTAGGCTGGCCTCCTGCACCTGACCTACCCCTCTCTGTTCCTGTCCTTGGCAGCTAAGCTGTCTCTCTCGATCTTTCCTGGGGAGAATTGATATTCACCCGTGTTCCCATGTTCCTTCTTCTACTCCACACCTCATATTTCTGATAGAAAGTTCTACAACAAGAGCCGTGGCCGGGTCTGTGTTGTCCATCCTGGAAATATATACCGAACCCTTGCGTTTATGTGACTAAGGGTTGGGACTGGACATTTTATTTTAGATGATTAAAATAGTAACTTTGTTGGCACATGCCTACAGGATTGAGCAGCACAACCTGAACCCTGTCCACTCAGCTTCCCCAATCCAAGTACAGCATCTCCTGTACCCCGTCTCCAGCTCCCTTCTCACACCTCAGCTCACTCAGCTGCCTTCTATTTTGGCATGTCACCATTGTCTCGGATGAAACCGTCCATTCAGCCATATACAGTAGCACAGGAACTCAGGAGGCAAAGGCAGGCATGCATGGTCTACATAGTGAGTCCCAGGTCAGCCAGAACTACATAGTGAGATAATATCTCAAAGAAAAACCAAAAGGGAGACATTGACAAGCAAGAACTTTTAAAAAGTCTAAATGTTGTTGAGTTTTATTATTAATGTAATTCCTTTATGTCTGAAAGTGCTGGGCACTGGTGTTGTGCCCAGGAAAGACCTCAGAGCCCTGGTTCCGCCAGGCTGGTGCTTTCCTTTCTCAGCAGCATCCCAACCGACACGTTCTGACATTTCATCTCAGGCAATGCCCAGACAGGTAGAGATTTCAGAAGGAGCCTTGTCTTGAGTCCAGGGTAAAGAATGAGGCAGGGGTAATGGAGAGCTGGCTTGGTGGGTACACACGTGAACCTGGATTCTGCAACCATGTAAAAAGCCAGGTGAGGGAGCATGTGTCTGTAACTCCAGTGCCATAGCCTAGCGATCTCTCAGACTCGCTGGCCAGACACGAGTTTTACTGAGACCCCACCTTGAAAATAAACCGGCAGATAGATGGATAGATAGAAAGAAAGATAGGTGTTAGAAGATGGATAGATGATAGGCAGACAGACAGACAGCCTGAAAGTGCTCGTAATACCTCCACATTCACATGTACACCCCCCTCCCACCCTCCCTAAGAGCAGAATGGGGAGGGGAAGGGAGCTTCCTGGCAGTGAGTGCTGGGGGGTTGGAAGCCTCCTCATCTTTCTCCACCAACACCATCTATGCTGATGACTTTCCATCACTTCCATTCCTCAGTCTTAAAAGCCCTATTTATTTATTATATATAGTGTTCTCCCTGCATGTGTGCAGGCCAGAAGAAGGCACCAGATCTCATTACAGATGGTTGTGAGCCACTATGCAGTTGCTGGGAATAAAACTCAGGACCTCTGGAAGAGCAGCCAGTGCTCTTAACCTCTGAGCCCTCTCTCCAGTACTTGGCCCTGGGGTCACTGCCCGTGGTGGTGTATCTTTGAGGAACGAAGGCCTCTGAGGTCCTGGCTGTGTCTGCATCTGCCCTCAGTGTGGGAAGGGAAGGGTCTGGGAGGACAGAGATGTTAGGAGGGGCACTGGCTACCTCAGTAGATGGGCATGGGCCTCTGTCCTTTATACTTGATGGACTTTTGTGTGGTACTGGGGATTGATTTCTCGGTTCCCGTGCATCCTGGGTAAACCAGGGAGCCATATCCTCAGGGGCAGTTTGTCCTTTAAGCAGAGTGTCCTTGCATGCAAACACAGAGGCTAGACTAGAGCTGGCAAGGTGCCCTTCGCTGGCCCTGCTGACACGCTGGCCTTGTGGGACCTGACTTGTACAGGCCTGTCTTCCAGCCTGTCTTTAGACTTTATCTGTGGGCTTCCCTTCCCCCTCCCTGATTTCTGAGGCCGGTGCTTTATGTGGTCTGACCACCCCGGCTGTGTGAGCCTCCCCTATTCCCAGCCTGTCAGGAGAGGCAGTCTTTTCTTGGCAGCTCGCTTTCTCCCGCCTGTCACTCTGCCACATCCACACTGCCCCACTTGTGGCCTGCTGGCATCAAGACTGAACATGCGGCTTCCCTGTCTCTTCTCGCCTCCTTTCTGAGTGTGAAAAGTTGCAATCCCACAATTCCATTTGCAGTGACTGGAATGCCTGCCACTCATCGCCCAGGCATGTGGTCTACTGTGGCGATACTTTCCTTCCTTCCTTCCTCGCTCTTAATTCCGTTTCTCCCCCCCCCCCCCCACTAAACTCTTCAGGATATTCATTGGTGTTCATACCCCTTCCACTTGCCGTGGAGCCAGGGCCGGCCTCAAAGTCCCGATACCCCGCCTCAGCCTCCTCAGTGTTGGGATGACAGGTGTCTGTCAGCACTCTTGGCTTTCCTGAGGACGTGGGGGAGGGGCTCTTTGACTTTGGATGTGGTTTGTGGGCGTCTCTTTATTGTGGCCTATGGTTTAGTCAGCTACTCCCTCCTGGCTGTCCCCTGTTGTCCTCAGTGTGGCATCTTTGCCTGCCTTCCTGTCTTTCACAGATAGTCCATTCTCTGCTCTACCGTGTGGTGTCTGCCACCCTAGTGCGCCTCACTCCAGCCTCAGTTTCCCTGCTGGAATCAGGCTCTTGGCAGAGCTTTCAAAACCCGGAGAATCTGTGCCTTGCAAAGTGTGGGGTTGCTTTTATGTCCCCGTATGTCCACTTCCCTCCTGTGGTGCTGCGTCAGCGACCCTGTTTGCGGTTGCACACATTTTCACCTGCAAGCACATCCATTGAAGTGACATACGTGAAGGAGCAGCCAGCCCATCCATGACCGTGGGTGTCGGCCCCTGGGGTTGTGTGGAATTTGAGCTGGGACAGACTCTAAGGCTACCTGTGCTCTCTTCAGTTAGCAAGAGGTGTGACAAGCAACCTGCCTATACCCCAACCACTACAGACCACCAGCCGCACCCCAACTACCCAGCCCAGAAGTGTAAGTATGACCCTGTCTCGTGGAAGCTGCTGGGGAGTCATTCCTGGCATGCAGACGCCTCGTTCTATGTGTTCGTGTGTGTCTTTGTGGGCGTGTCCTGTTCTTTAAGTCCTCCGCTTTTACAGTTGGTCTTCTTGTCTGCCTTTGCAAACTGCTGGAGGACAGCATGGGTCTGGCTTCTCGGAGCTTTTGTTTTGTCTTAGCTGGACCCTGCATCTCTCCTGCCATGATGGGGTATGTCAGCCAGCATCCAGGCCCCGTGCACTTGAGGCTCAGGCCTGCAGACTCTGGGCTCTATTTCCCCACTGATCTTGGCTCTCCCCAGAGCTGGAAGGACTTGGCGATGTGTACCGACAGTCCATGTCAGCCCCTCAAAGACATTCTATAGGATTATAGTGTAACTGCCAGGAATAGAAGCGTGCCTAAGAGGGCGGTTTGTAATTGCCCCCTCTGCCTGTTAGAACACTGTCCTCTTCTGGCTGAATATAAAAGTAACCGGAGCATTCTCTGCATGCACTTTGTGACAGACAGAAGAATAGTCCCTTAGGGGCAGCAGTGGCCCTTCCTCATTGGCCCTGTTCCATCTCTCAGGGTGACACTTCAGAGCTCAGGAGAGTTAGAGAACCAGGGAGCCTTAGGGAATGGTCTAAACAGCGAGCTGTCGTAGTGGACAGCCATTAAGGCTGTCATCGCAGCCACCAGTAGTGCCCACAGATTGGGGCTATTGTCCTCTTCTGAGATGGCTTCTGGACTCTTCTTTTAGCTTCCTCTTTGCTTCCTCAGCCACTATCTAGCTTGGTGCCTGTGTCCTCAAAGCCGTCCCAGGTGTCTGTTGGGGTCCATTTTGGTCACTGACCCCTAACATGATCCTTACTGGGAGCCCATGGGGGGTGTGTCCGGGGCAGGGTTGGGGCGGGAGGCTTTGCCATCTCATCTGGGCCTCATTTCTTCTCTTACAATCTCTTCCTGGTTTGGATATGAGTCTTTTAAATTAACCCAGAGTCCTGTTAACATCCAGAGACCACGTTTTGCCAGATTCTAAGGGTCTCCCAGAGCCAGTGTCAGGTCGAGTGGTGTCATTCGGTCACTTAAGGGGCAAGGATTCCCTATGGATGGGGCACCATTACTCACCAACCTTCACTCTGCAAGCATGACACCCTGCTGATCTTCCAGTTAGCCATGGTTGAAGCTGTCCCTCTGCTCTGTATACCCCAGATAAGGGATCTCAGTGGTAGCTGTGTTACAACTCTAGTGGTTGTGCAGCTGGAGGATGAGGGGAGGTGGACAGGGGAAGCTGAGCTTGCTGCCTTTCCTCCACAGACCATTCCAGGAGCAGCAAGACAGGTTTGTGGAGTAGCAGTGAGGAGAAGCGAGGATCAGCCCGCTCCGAGCACAGCACAGGGACCAGCACGAAGAACCTCCTGCCCAAAGAGTCTCGGGAGTCTCGACTAGACACCTTCTGGGACTAGGGTGCACGCATTGTGAGCCAGAACACCCCCCTGTAGGGGGAAACAATCCAAACAACAGGAAGCAACAGAAACTGGAGAACAGCCACCTTTTCAATACCCAACACTCAGGCTCTGCCCGTGGGCTTGGCTGCAAGGCAGCGACTTGACTCCATCCCAGCATGGGCCTTGCTGGGACTGCTGGACCTTGTGAGCCCAACACTGTAGGTGTAAGTAGGTACACTTTGTGATGTCACTGACCTAGCCTACCTTCCTTTTTCATATCTATACTGACCTTAACTTATAAAAACAAGTTATATATAACAGATCTACAACAAAAAGAATGTTTTGCTAATACAGAGGGCTGGCTAGCTAGCCCTCTGGCCTCACTGGTGTCAGGGCTGGGCCCAGGGATTGCTATTCTCACAGAGGCACTCCTTCTTGGATACTCAGGGGAGGGAGGGAGCCACTGTCACTCTGCAGCACACCACGATCGGGGCTCTCAGGCTGTGCTGTCCTGGACCCACCACACCAAGCCATCGGCCCCTCGCAGACCCTACAAGACGATGTCATGAAACACAAGCTCACTGGGCTCCAAGGACACAGAGAAGCAAGTGCATTCGGTATGCTTTCCGCTATGGTTCCGGAAGCGGCAGGGCAGCCTGCTGTTTACAGAAGGTCCATGGTGGATGCAGATAGCATACATGTGGGGATGTCCCTTCTCTCTGCTGAGTGCTTCCCACAAACACTCACACACGTTTGTAAAGAGATATGTGTCTCAGAAGCAAGGACTCAAAAGCAAGGTGCACGTTGAGGACATGTGAGCCCTCGGATGGAGCATGTATGTATTATTTATATGCTGGAGTTCTACGTTTTTATGTAAGCATGAAACACAGGCAGTGTGAGAGAAAGCCAGGACCGGTCATGCTGTCCCGTTAACGCTATGTCTGCTGTATTCCCATTTTGTATGTTGTGTAAAACAAGCCTCGATCGAAGCAAAAAGTGATGTGTGTATATGAGAAAAATTAATTGTATATCATTCCAGTACATTCCGTTGTACATTTTAGTCTTTGTTTACTTTCTCTTCATTGTTGATAAGAGAATGCAAGCTGTGCATTGTCCAGCTAGTTTACCCCCTACTAGAGAAGAAAGAGAAAGAACTGCTAGAAGAAAACAGGAGAGAAAGAACATTTGTGAATTGCAGTTGTCAAAAAAAAAAACAAAACAAAACAAAACAAAACAAAAAACAAACAATCTAGCCTAGCTGGCCTTATTTGGGAAGCGTAACTGCTTTTAGCATATGGGAGTATTTTTTCACATTTTCTTTGTATAAAATTTGTATTAAACTTAAATATCTTTTTTGATGATGGTGTTTCTTTGTGACTGAGCCAGTGGTCTTGCGCGGTTACAATCTTTCGGGGTTTTTCTTCTCAACATCCCAATTTTTTTTTTTTAATTACTAAACTGTTTTGGCAAAAAAAAAAAAAAAAAAAAAAAAAAAAAAAAATGGTTTGATCACGATAGTGTCCCGTGGGTGTCAGGGTGTGGCTGTCAGGTCTGAATGTCTAAACACTAGGAGGTCCCCCAAGGTCCTAGACACCCTACAAGGGTTGCCTGGCCAGGTCCCAGCCAGGGTAGCTGCAGTCTTGCTGAGGTCAAGGCAGTGGGTCAAGAGCCACCAGGCTCTGAGTGCATCGTCAGCAGTGATATCCTGGAAGCAACTGGTCCATCAGCCTTTGCTCTAGGTCAGTTGTCCATCTTGGAAGGCTGAAGTTTCCCGTGGTTTTCTGGGTAGGAGTTACCCATATCTCTGGACTGGGTCACGTGTGTGGACATACATATATATTCATATATATATTCATGTAGGTGCATATGCTCAAGTATGTCTCTGCGAGTTCTGAGGGGGAGGGTTGACACTGTTCCATCCTGTGTCCCCAGGTGTTAAAAAAGGGTTGAGGACCCTCCAAAGCTTCTGGGCCCTCCTCTCCTTTGCCTCCCCCCCCCAAGCCTTCCACACAAGAAAAGACTTGAAGAGCTGACTTGCCTACTCATGGGTAGAAAAATGGTGGGTTTTATTTTATTTTTTTTATTTTTATTTATTTTTTGTTTTTTTAATTGACGTTTAGGACTAGGGCTTGCTTGAAAGGGTGTTTGCCTAGCATGCAGAAGGCACCCAGCACTTCATAATGGTAGCACATGCCTGCAATCCCAGCACTTGGGAGGGGGGAGGCAGGGGAATCACAGCTTCAAAGTCACCCTTGGCTAGGTAATGAGTTTGAGACCAACCTGAACTACGCGGAACCCTGCCTCAAATAAGAGTGAATAAATACATGATGTGAACCTTGATTTTTTTTTTTTTTCATTTGTTCAACTACCAAATGCAGTCACATGACTACTGCTTAGAGGTTTGAAAGGGTCCTCGAATGTCCCTCAGTGTCCCGCATTTACACAGTACTCTGTATACACAAGGGCGCAGGAAGTACATGTGACACCTTCCGTCAGTCACCTGGCTTCACTCAGGGTTTCAAGGGAGATGCAGAATGTCCTTGCTCCTTCCAGTGGGGAAGTGGTCACACTGTCCCCACTGGTCTCAGTGGAGTCGTAGTTGCTGCCCAGGTGGCCAGTGTGTGTGTGGCAGGTAGGTGGGGACACACAGCTTGCGGGATTCTTGTGACCTTGGTTGGAGTGGGCAAGGAGTGTTTGAGGTGGCGTGGACCCCTGTGTCTCACACAGGCTACCATTACTGGAGCTACATCTCAGGCCCCCAGCCAAGTATTTTCAGATGCCAAGCTAAATCTGAGAATGAGAAAAGTTCATGAAGGGGTCTGAACGCACAGAAGTGGCCACTAACCTTGTTCCTTCTTAACAAGAGCTTGCATTGATGGCAGAGGCTGGCTCTTGCCACCTAGTGGCTATGTGCATAACTGCAGCTCAGACGAGACTGCTGGGGACAGAAAAATGGATGGAAAGTGTTCATTCCAGCTCCGTAGTTTGTCAAGCCAAGCATGGGGTATACAGTCATGACCAAGATAGGGTTGGTTCTGTCCACAGAGAAATCGCATTCTCACTGGAAATAAAATCAACCACATATGTCACGTTCTAGGTGGCTCCAATTGTTGAAGGCTAATCCGGACTTTGTTTTTTTTTTTAAATAAAAGGCCTAATGATGGAACTTTTTTGGTTTTTTTGATACAGGGTTTCTCTGTGCAGTGATTCATCTGCCTCTGTCTCCAAACTGTTTAGCTGTCCTCCATGATGAAAATACACACGGCAGCCAGGCGTGCATGTATGTGTGACTGACTCCTCAGGCAATCCCGAGGCAGGAGGATTACTTGAGCCCAGTGGTTCAAGTCAGCCTAGGCAGCACAGAGACATACAACTCTGAAAAAAACGGAAGAATGACAGCTCATTTTCATGTGCAGAATAAAGCATGTGTAACCATGTGTACCTGTCACTGAACACCTGACGGGAAGTGACCTGGGGGGTGGGTGCTCGTTTTGGCTCACGGATGCATCCCATGGTGTGGTGAATGTAGCATCATGTTGTATCCAGGAAGCCGAGAGCGGACAGGAAGTGAAACTGGGTTCAAAGCTTAACGGCTGCCTCTAGTGATCCACTTCCTCCCTGGAGCCTCCACTTCATGAGGGTCTCCCAAGCTTCCAAACCAGCCCTACCAACCCCACCAGCCGAGGTCACACGTCCTGTGGTTTTCCATCCTTAGTCTTGAGTCAATGTCACAGCCCGTTTGGGGAACACTGGTTCTGAACAAGCCATGGCAAATAAAATTAAAGAACTTTAAATTCACAGGAAGGAAACTGAGGCTCAGGTGCCATGGCCAGCCCATGACCTCACAGCTGGGAGGTGGCCCAGTCTAGATTCCCACAGGGTGCCCCCAACTCAGGCTGAACAGCTGCTGTTCATTGTAAATGGAGTTCTTAATTGTTCTAAGTAATAAAAACCCGGAGTCAGATATAGAGGAAAATGCTGAGAGATCAGAAGGAGCAAGCCACCTCCACACTCTACCCCCTTAGCATCTCGGCAGACAAGAGAGTAATAGCATGTTTCTCCCTGCTTACATCCGGTTTCTGCTCAGCTGCTTCACTTCCTGTCTGTCTGTACAGACCTCTACAGTTAGCTAGTGGCAAGCTCCATTCTCTGACCCTCAGGCAGGCTTTATTTGTGCAAGCGAGATATCACCACGGTTCACAGGTCAATTCTCTCTCTCTCCTTATCTCCCTCTCCCCCTCTTTCCCTCTCCCTTCCTCTCTCTTTCCCTCTCTTCCTCTATGTCTCTCCCCATCTCTTCTCTCCTCCCTATCCCTCTGTCTCTTCCCTCTCTCTCCCCTTCCCTCCCTCCCTCCCTCCCCCACACCTCCTTCCACTCACAGGAAATAGAACACTCAGCTTTCAGTCAGAAGACTCAGTACTCATTTCTGGCCACAGATGTAATGTTGAATTTTAATTTAATTGTGTGTGTGTGTGTGTGTGTGTGTGTGTGTATGCCAACCTTGAGACAGGGACTCAGTTTGTAGCTTAAGTCTGCCCTTAAGTGCACGACAGGCATGTGCCACTGTCCCTGGTATAATATTGATGTTTAAATCAGTTTCTGATCAAAGCTGATTTATCACCATCCTAGAATGAGCTACTGTGTATAAATAAATGCCACCAGGTGTGGTGGTATGAATCGTAACTTCTGGAAGTTGGAGGCAGGAGGATCAGGAATACAAAGCCAGCCTCTGCTACCTGGCAAGTTGGAGGCCAGAATGGACTACATGTAACTCTGTCTCAAGGAACCAAAAGCAAAACCCATCAGAAAACAAACAAAAAACCCAGCATTTCCCCCAAAATAATCTAAATTATGATGACAATTTTATTGTGGAAAACGAGAGTATTCAGAGATGTCGGTCCACCGTTTTTGTTGTCTTTCATAGACAGCGTGTCTGAGTGTGGGCCACCGGCAAAGTGCCCTTCTGATAACTCTTGAGCCTGGCGGTGACTGCTCTGCAAAATCCTGTCTAGGGTAGGTCCATTGTACTGCTGATATCTGGTCCCACAGCTTGGCTAGCTTGTGGTCACATTGCCCCCTAGTGGTCTCTGGTGAGCATAGCATCACTGGTGCTGACTGCCTTGTGAAAAGTGATTTATTCTTTATCTACCAATCTATTATCTGTTGTCAATCAACCTATAGGTTTAATCATCTCTCAATTATCTACTATTATCTATTAGTCCTATTAGTCATCAATAAACCAATAAATTTAATCACCTATCTATATCTGTCTACTATCTGTTACCTACTATATCTATTATCTATTAGTCATCAATTAACCTATAAATTTACCATCTATTTACCTGTCATCTTCCTAATTGTTTTCAAACAAGATCTCGATAAGTAGTCCTGGCTGGCCTTGAGCTCATGACCCTCCTGCCCGTCTCCTGGGTTATAGGCATGACCAGCACACCTAGCAGGTCTAGGCCTCATAATTCAAGGCTGCATCTTCATCAGAATGTACTATGGGTCCAAGCTACCACATGGTTGTTCCTTTGCACACAAAGGAAGCTGGACACCAAAGGGACATTCCATATGAGCCCGTATGGACCAGGTCCAGAGACGGAAACCAGAGTATCGGAAGCATGGAGCAGAAGTAGCAGGAGCAGGCAGGGCTTTTGGACTCTGTTCTGTTCTGATCCCTGTGACATAACTACCTCAGCGGAATCATGTAAATTCATCATGATGGTGGGATTTGAGATCTGTGCCATAAAGTTTATGTCGCTCATAAAATGAAAAAACCTAATAACAGAATTTGAAGTCCAGGAAGGAGCCCTGTGACCAGGCCACCAACAGCCCCTTCAATCCTGAGTGTGTGGAAAACATCAGTTAGACCACGTGGGGTCCTGCCTACAACCTCCCAGGGTTTTTAAGTTCCCAACCCATGGCCAACTGGGTTCCACGTGTCTCTCTGCTTTAGTTTTAGCCCCCAGAACTTCCTTAAGATTCCTTTGTCCTACCCCCAGATGTTCGTGCCTTCACTCCCTTCCTTAAAATGATTTCTCTGGGGCTGGAGAGATGGCTTAGTGGTTGGGAGTGCTGGCTGGGAGGACCCAGGGTTCAACTCCCAGCACCCACATGGCAGCTTGAAGCTGTCTGTAGCTCCAGTTCCAGGGGATCTGACACCCTCACACCAATGTATATAAAGTAAATTTAAATATATTTAAAAAAAAAGAGAGAATTTCTCTGGCCTCTGTCTTTCTGTCTGAGCTCAAATGTCACCTACTTAATTGTGACCAGCCATTTCCACAGACCCCTTGATTCTGTGTCATCAGCAGCGTGTGACCCCAGTGCTTGCTTCTGGCCTGTCACCTTAGA